AAGGTTTGTAAGAACAAATTGAGGGCCGGTAAGATGGCTCAGCAGGTACAGTAAAGGCACTTGATGCCAAGTCTGATAACCTAAGTTTGAGTCTAGGAACCCACATGACGGAAGGAAAGAAAGAATCAACTCCCACAAGTTATCCTCTGACTTCCATGGCACATAACCATATGTATATACAAACAAATAACAGAGAAAATTAAATATTTAAAAGCCAGGGGTTGTGAGGTGGGTGTGTCTAGCAACCCACATGACGGAAGGAAAGAAAGAATCAACTCCCACAAGTTATCCTCTGACTTCCATGGCACATGGTATATACAAACAAATAACAGAGAAAATTAAATATTTAAAAGCCAGGGGTTGTGAGGTGGCCTAGCAGGTAGAGTTTGAACTGTTCAAGCATGATGAACAGAGTTCAATGCCCAGAAACAACACAGAGGTGGAAGGAAACAACTAACTCCACCACAATTTTCTCTGACAAATACTGTGTAGACATAGTAGTGCATGCCTCTAATTCCAGCACGCAAGAGAAGTGGAGACAAGAGGAACAGAAGATCAACGTCAACCTTAGCTGCACAGAGAAGAGCAAATTCAAGGCCAGTCTGAACTATGACACCCTCTCTTTCCCCTCCTTCAACAACAACAACAACAACAAATCCTTTCTCAATACAAACAACTAAAAATACTAATAATACCTTAAATTATATCCTACAGATATCTTTTGTTCAGTTTGAGACAGGGTCTCATGTCTAGGCTTGCGTATGTAGCCAAGGAAGCTTTGATTCCCGATCCTTCTGCCTCAGCCTGCTGAGTACTGGGATTACAGATGTGTCTACCAATACCTGGCTCTGTCATATAGGTATCTTAGTTTTATTCTGTGCTTAATCTATTTCCTAGGACTATAGATGAAGTCTAAAAGCTAAAAGGACAGTGAAAATTACTTAGGTAAATAAGGCATTTGTCAACCTGTTAGTTTTCTTTATGAATCCAATGGGGCACTAGGGAACCCAGTTACACACAAGCCAGCAAAAGGCCTACTGCCCCTACAGTGTTCAAACCTAGTCTTTCTATCCCCCTTTATGCACAAAGCAGCCGTATCCAAGAGGAATCTACAAAAGAGCATTTTTCAACACTAAGATGCTGAATAACAGACACAGCTGCAAATGCAGCTGAAGTTCACAAAAAGGTCGTCTCCCAACTTCTATTTGCATAAAGCAGGAAGTAAGGGTGGGGGGAAAAAAAAGATAGTAAGGGGTCTCCAAAATCAACTTACATACACTCACCAAGTACTGCAGTATCAGCTAGACTTTAAAGTCTCAAAACTGAAGTTAACTTGTATCAACATTTATTTTGACAGTGATGAAGACATTCATAGGAGAAAAACCAAGTATAAAACAGAGCTATTACAGTCCTATTATACCAGAGAGAAAACACACCTACATTTTGCTATTTCCATATGTGCTTCAGGGTGAGCATGCTATCTTTTTTTTTTTTTTTCTTTTGCAATGTCTTGCTTTGTGCTTCAGAACAGAACGTGTGAGGTATGACTTTCTAATTCGCACACAGATGTAATGTGTTTAGCTAACAGATTCAATTATTTGATAGGCAGCAGACATAAATGATTAGAAATAAGCACAAAACAAAGTTAAACATACTTCTTCTGGGACAGTGTGAAATTCACTTTTCCTTTTCTTACTTAATTTTGCAGAGTGCAATGAATTTTTTTTGAGGGGGGGTTCTTTTTGAGACAGGGTCTCTCTGTAGCCCCAGCTGTCCTGGAACTCACTATGTAGACCAGGCTGGCCTTGAACTCACAGAGATCTGCCTGCCTCTGCCTCCCGAGTGCTGGGATTAAAGGCATACAGTACCACGCTTGGCTCAATGATTTTTTTTTTTGTTCTTTTTGAGACAGGGTCTCCCTGTAGCCCCAGCTGTCCTGGAACTCACCACGCAGACCAGGCTGGTCTTGAACTCACAGAGATCCGCCTGCCACTGCCTCCCGAGAGCTAGCACTAAAGGTGTGCGCCACCATGCCCGGGTCAATGAATATTTTTAAGCCCACAACTTACTACTAAGGGTATTTTGTTTGCTCTACCTTCAAAATCTACCTAGAACATTGCTACTTTCTTCATTTAGCAGGCTACCATTCTGATCTAATTTTTTTTCTTTTTGAGACAGGGTCTCCCTATAGCCCCAGCTGTCCTAGAACTAACTATGTAGACCAGGCTGGCCTCGAACTCACAAAGATCCACCTGCCTCTGCCTCCCAAGTGCTGGGATTAAAGGTGTGCAACACCACGCCCGGCCATTCTGATTTATTATGTCATATGGGTTAGTCCCAGACCCTGCTTACCATTCTCTCCAATGTGACTGTACCACCACTCTACAACACAGCAGACAGACTGATCCTTCCTGAAGGATATAAGGAAGATCACTGCAGTCCTTAACTCAAGGTAAAGCAATCATTTTACATTTCTTCCATTTTTGTAATGAAAAACTTTTTTTTTTTTTTTTTTGCCATTAGAGATTGCAACTAGAGCCTGACACAGGTTAAGAACATCCTCCCCTACTGAGCTATAACCTAAGTTCCACATATCACAGTAAAATGAAAAGCATCTGGATGGCTTACAGGACTTCTCAACATTATGCTTCTTACACTGTCTCAGCTCATGCTCCCGGCCATTTAAGTACTCTAGCTCCTCTAACATGTTAGCCATGCTGCTACCTCAGCCTGCTGCATTATTTCTAACTATATCCTCCCAAATGTCAGTTTCTTTCTTTTTCTTTTTTGGTCTTTGAAACAGGGTCTCTCTGCAGCCCCAGCTGGTCTCGAACACACAGAGAGATTTGCCTGCCTCCCAAGTGCTGGGATTAAAAGTATGTGCCACCACACCCGACACAAATGTCAGTCTCTTAAGAAGAAACACTTAAACCTGAAATACCCCTTACCTCCATTCCTTAACTTCCCAGGTGAACTTCTTTGTGTGTGTGCATACACAACCCCCCCCCATCTATACATATGTATACACAACAAAGCAGGGAACTTAATAACTTTCTAAGCTCACTCATTACTTCTACTTAAGTTCAATGAAAAGCACAGATATTTGTTGGATTCTATACATCATCAATATATTCTTGGTACCTACATACTTGGAACATATATATCCAATGAATCAAAAAAGACAGGGCAAGCTACCCATCAGGTACTTAAACCATCGCACTTTTCTCTTTTTTATTTTAGAATTTGGGATTTGGGCTAGTCAATCTTATTAGAACAATCCGTACTTCAGAAAGGTTTTCTTGACAATCCCAAATCCCTGGCAACCATGACTATACTTCCTCCTGTGAATTTTCAATCATGTCCCTTATAGTATTAGGTCTCTTGATGTGTAAAGGTCTCATTCAGCCTCTAACCTCTTTAAGCACAGGGTCGACTTTCTTAAACCTTTGAGCTTCTTTCAAATGTTTTTCTTTCCTGAAGACTACTCATAGCCAAATGAACTTTAGGGATGCAGAAGCTATTTCTTAGGGGCCTTAACACAGTTTACAAACTATTATTATTATTTTGAGATAGGGTCTCATGTAACCCAAGCTGGCCTTTAACTCTATACAGCTAAGAACCTTGAACTCCTGAGTCAGTCTCCCAGGTGCTGGATTAGAGGTGTTTGTCACCAAACCCAGGACTTTAATTTAGCACTAAGGACTGAGCTTAGTCTCCCCCCCAATGCTAAATAAGCACTCTACAAAATGAACAACATCCCCAGATAGCCCTCTCCTCTCTTATTTCTTCTCTAATTTTGGGACAAGGTAGCCTCAAAACTCATGTAACAGAGCATGAATTCTATTTCTCCTAAATATTGTGATTACAGATGTGCATCACCTTAGCTGGCTTATTTGCTGTTTGTATGTTGAGATCAGATCTCCCAGTAGCTCCAGCTGACCTAGCATTAGCTACGAAGACCAGGCAGACCTCGATCTCACAGAGATCCACCTGCCACTGCCACCATACATGGTTTAATTCTGTGTGTGTGTTTTTTTTTCAAGAGGGGGTCTTGCCATATGCCCCAGGCTGATCTAAGATTTCCTATGTAGCAGAGACTGACATCAATTGTGAAGCTGTCTGGTTCTTATCTCTGCCTGCTGGTACCAGACTACATGAATCACCTTAACCAGTTCAAAGTTGTTTTTCTTGTTAAAATAAAAAAAAGGAGGGGGGGGACCACACACAACAACACACAATCTCTGTAGTCCTGGCTGACCTGGTGCTAGCTATGTAGTTACTTGTAGTGTTCTTGTCAAAAACAATGTTGAGGCTTGGAATATAGGTAGAGTGCTTACAGAACACACATGGGTTCCATGAAAAACTCATCCCCATTACCACATAAACTTGGCATGGTCACGACATGGATGCACTTACCTACATGCAAGCAATACATGCATACAAATAAAAAATAATAAATGAAATACTTAAAGGAAAAAAAAAACTTGGCATGGTAACAAGCAGAGATCAGGAGTTCAATGTCATTCTCAGCTACACAGTTACACTAGAACTTACTATGTAGCCCTGGCAGGGCTTGAACTCACTGAGATTCACCTGCCTCTGTATCCCAAATGCTGGTAATTGTGTTTTTTTTGTCTCTTGGAGACAGGGTCTCCCTGTAGCCCCAGCTGTCCTGGAACTCACTACGTAGACCAGGCTGGCCTTGAACTCACAGAGATCCGCCTGCCTCTGCCTCCCGAGTACTGGGATTAAAGGCATGCGCCACCACACCTAGTAATTGTTATTTTTTTGCTTGCTTTTTGAGGCATAGTCTCTCTATATTGCCATCTGGCCTGGAACAACCTATGTAGAACAGGCTGACATCGATCTCAGAGAGAACTGCCCACCTCTGACTCCCCAGAGCTGGGATTAAAGGCCTTTATCACCTGTAACTTGTATTTTTGAAATGTTATCAAGATTTAAACTTCAAAACACCACCATACAAAATCCCCCATACTTACAGCCTCTTTTTCTCTGTCCATAATAGTTTCCAGTTCTTCAAAATGTCGAAGTTTGATCTCTAGTTTCTTCATCTGTGTCTCAACCAGGAGAGCTACCAGGGACTTGATCTTTCTTTCTTCCACAGCAGCCAAGTGCTAAGGGAAAATACCATTCAAATTACTTACAAGAAAATACTGACATTGCCATTCAAAGTACCTTATGCAATTATGCCTTTTAGATACCCTAAAAGTTTCTTTCAAATATTTATTTCAATTGGTTCTATTTCAAAAAACTCCTGGTCTTTATAGAAAGTAAGTAATACCTTTAAAGGATATAAGGGGGTCGGCAGGATTGCTGAATGGGTAAAAGTCCTTGCTGCCCAATCTGATCTGAGTTCAATCCCCAGAAGTCACATAGTAGAGAAAATCAACTCTAAGAAGTTGTTCTCTGATTTCCACATGAGCACTCTGCCACTCCCTCCTCACAAAAATAAGTGTAAAAAATTAAAGAAAATTCCTCTAACAGGAAACTGTAGTAATGGGATAGACTGCTACTTTATCTATCCAAATGGAGACTCTTAACGGGCTCTCTTTTTCTGCCTCTCTCTCTCTATCTACCACTCAATGCAACCAACCAACCAACCAACCTTGAATTAGGACTCTTGATGGGCTAAAGACAATAAAAGTGATCCTTTCACACTTCACACCTGTCTTCCCTCAAGATTAAGAAAAACAAACTATTCACTTTGCTAGAATAGAGTTAAGGCATAGACTTTAAAGGATAGAAGCAATTTCTGTTAAGCCAGCCGAAGATGAAAGTGAATAAGGCTAAGTGCAGTCAAACCCTTCAAATATGCCAACTTTTTTTGGTGACCCCTGCACAGTAGTGTTAAACAGAGATAAAAGATTCATGGCTTGGGGCTGGAGAGATGCATCAGAGGTTAAGAATACTGGTTGTTCTTGCAGAAGACCCGTGTTCGAATCCCAGCCACCCACATGGCAGCTAACAACTGTCCATAACTCCAGTCCCAGGGGATCTGACAGCCTCTTCTGACCTCTGTGGGTATTGCAAGACAGGGGTGCACTTACCTACATGCAGGCAATACGTGCATACACATAAAAATAAAAACAAATAGGGGCTGGAGAGATGGCTCAGCAGTTAAGAGCACTGACTGCTCTTGCAGAGGACCTGGGTTCGAGTCCTAGCACCCACATGACGGCTACAAACCGTCCTTAACTCTAGGTCCAGGGGAATCCGGCGCCCTCTTCTGATCTCCGAGGCATTGCCCGACATGGGTGCACTCACATACATGCAGGCAATATGCTTATACACATAAAATAAAAATAATAAAATATTTTTATAAATAAATAAAATGAAAACAAAAACAATTTTAAAAACGTTTAAAACAAAGATTCATGGCTCAACATGCTTAGTCTAAGTAAATTGATTAATCAACACTTGAGACATAAGATTTATGACTCAAATTACAGTAGCAATTCTCCTATCTTAGGAAAGAATTTCAACATGTACATATTAGCAAGACTAAGTGGTCTCAGTGAATTATATTATACATACCTATATATATAAATTTGTGTATTCATAAGTATGTAACAACAACAAGGACAAGAAATTGACAGGGAGTGGAGGATGACATGGGAGGCATTTGAGGGGAAGAGTGGGAGGGTTGGAAAAAAATGTAAATACAGTACTCTTGTAGGAAATTCTCAAAACAATTATTTTAAATAAGAACTTCAGACATAAAGATGCAAGCTATGTTTGAGGTACAGCATCTTCCTGTTATCCTAGTTACCATGAACATAAATCTAAGTTTGCTATTTTAGGTTATATGAAGAGGGAATGGTCTATGAATAAGTCTAATAAAAGAATTATATCTGGCTTTAGGAAAGTGTGGTATCTGGCATGAGAGACAGCTCAGCAGTTACAAGGACTGGCTACACTTGAAGAGAACTCAGCTTCTGTTCACAGCACTCACATGGTGTTTAACAACCGTGTATAACTCCAGTTCCAGGGGATCCGACGTCCTCCTCTGGCCTCCGTAGGCATTGCATGCACTTACATACTTGCAGGCAAAATACTCATGTACATTGAAAAAAAAAAAAACCCTAGGGGCTAGAGAGATGGCTCAGCGGTTAAGAACACTGTTCTTGCAGAAGAGTCAGGTTTGAATCCCAGCACCCACATGGCAACTAACTCCATAACTCCAGAGGATCCAACAGTCTCTTCTGTCCTCCACGGGCATTGCACAACACAGGTGCACTTATCTACATGCAGGCATAATACTCATACACATAAAATAATAAAATATTTTTTTAAAAAAAGTAGTAGTAATGCTAGCCAGGTGTGGTGGCACACGCCTTTAGTCCCAGCCCTTGGGAGGCAGAGACAGGTGGCTCTCTGTGAGTTCAAGGCCAGCCTGGTCTACATAGTGAGTTGCAGGACAGCTGGGACTACAGGGAGACCCTGTCTCAAAAAAAAACAAAAAAAAAGCAGTAATGCTGAAAAAAAGGGTTTTCTAGTTTTTTTTTCCAGCAGTCCTTTCCAGCCCTCCCTTCCTTTTAAGCCTAAATACCAGATGGAAGAAACAAAGAGCAACTAGCCATTGGTGTGTCTGCTCTCACTCCTCCACTTCTGCATGTATGGACTGCCAAGGCTTGTCAGTAGGGGAAATGCAAAAGCAGACATACTCCTGAAAGATTCTGCCCAAGGCAAGGACGGGGAGAAGCCAGGAAACATGCCACTTTGTCTGTTCAAAAGCTAGATCAAGAGGCACTAATTACCTCTCCATGCCAGAGGGTGAAAAACACTTAATAATAAAGCTGTTTATAGACACAGCAAAACAAAACAGGACTAAGAGAAACTTTGATTGGCTAGTGAAGCATTACTAATTACAGTAATTTAAGTGAATTCCTTGCCCCCTGATTACTAAGTAGTGTAAAATGATTATGTGCTATGAAATATATCAGATCCACCTTTATGTGACAATAATTCCCATGTCCTAACCTATACAGCATGAGCACTTGCACTGCTTTCATAAACCATAGGAAAACATGTTTTTGCTTTGGTTTGGTTGTTATTGAGACAGGGTCTGTCTTCCTATAGCCCCAGCTGGCCTTGATCTCACAAGTGCTAGGGTTGAGGGTATACGTTATCATGCCCAGCCCAGACAACATCTTTTAAGAATGTAAATATATGGGGCTGGAGAAATGCCTCAGCAGTAAAAGAGAACTGGCAACTCTTGCAGAGGACCTGTGTTTGGTTCCCAGTACCCACATGATGGATAACAATCATCCCTAACTCCAGTTCTAAGGGATCCGATACCTTCTTCCGACCTCCAGTGGCAATACACAGGTGTACTTACATACACAGGCAGTGCACTCATGCACATATAAAATATTTTAAGGGGATGGAGAGATGGCTCAGTGGTTAATAACACTGACTGTTCTTGCAGAAGACCCAGGTTCGAATCCCAGCACCCACATGGCAGCTAACAACTGTTCATAACTCCAGTTCCATGGGATCTGACAGCCTCTTCTGTCCTCCGCGAGCATTGCGTGACAGAGGTACACTTATCTACATGCAGGCATAACACAGTTAAAACGGGAGGCTGGAGAGATGGCTCAGTGGTTAAGAACACTGACTGTTCCTGCAGAAGACCCGGGTTTGACTCCTAGAACCCACATGGCAGCTAACAACTGTCTGTAACTCCAGTTCCAGGGGATCTGACAACCTACATGCACTTACCTACATGCAGGCAATATATGCATACACATAAAATAAAAATAATAAATAAAATATTAAAACAACAACAACAACAACAACAACAACAACAAAAACAGTTAAAACACAGAAAGATCATTTTGGTTACAGGATTGGTAAAGAGATGGTGGAAACAGGTCAAAGATTAAGGGAAAAGTATAGACTATTATATATTTATACCAGAAAAGCCAGGGAAAATGAAAGATAAAGGAATTAAAGATCACCTAAGGTTGCAGGTTTGACAAAAGAAGGGAAGAAGGGACTCTCCTTAGCCTCTACTTCCTCACTTAAGATAATACTCTCCGATTGACCATGTCTATGATCCCCATGAAAACATAAATAGTAAGATTTGAACAAGCTCAAAGGAAATGATGCCCAAATAATCCAACATCACAGAAGACAGCAAAAATCAAAAAAATCTTTCCCAAAAAAGGAGCATAACCAGACAAATGGCAAACAAGAAATCAGCACTTACATTGGTACTTAGTCATGTAAGAGTGTACCTCAAAACAAATAGAGGGCCAGGCATAATAGTGCATGGCTTTGATCATAGTATTTGGTATGGGAATACCTCAAAAACAGACTAAGAGGAACCTCTGGAAAATGCTGGGAAGTACAACCACATTAAAGAAAGCTACTGTACTACTGAATCAGCTGAGGTATGTGTCTGGGTAGACTGAGCACTACTGTGGCCTGTAAAAACCTCTCCCCCAATGTGGGCGTGGTGGCCCATGCCTGTAGTCCCAGCACTTGGGAGGCAGAGGCAGGTGGATCTCTGTGAGTTCAAGGCCAGCCTGGTCTACATAGTGAGTTCCAGGGCAGCTGGGGCTACAGGGAGACCTTGTCTCAAAAAGACCAAAAACAAAACAAAACAAAGAAAAAAAACCTCTCCCCAAGACCACCTACAGGGGATGTCTGACCACCTAGGTCAGATGGATAGGCACTTAAAAACAGTGGTTTCAATTGGTGTATCCATGGACTCTGAGTCACAGCACACAGATTAAACATTTAGAGTAGTTCGCAGTAGCAGGGTAGCCTAAAAAACCATGAAAGAACATATTTACAAATGGATGAAGAAATATTCAAGATAAAAGGATGAGAATGTTCTAGAAACTATTGTTTGTAGAATCTGGGAACTATAATGGAAGGAGACTATTTCTCAGGTAAAAATTGGTGAAAGGGCTTTTTAAAATTTCATAAATTTGGGGCTGGAGAGTCGGCTCAGCGGTTAAGAGCACTGATTGCTCTTGCAGAGGACCCGGGTTCTATTCCCAGCACCCACATGCAACTACGAACCATCCTTAACTCCAGTTCCAGGGGAATTCGAAGCCCTCTTCTGACCTCCGCGGCATTGCATGACATGGGTGCACTCATATACATGCAGGCAATACACTCATACATATAAAAATCAAAACAATAAATAAAATATATTTTTTAAAAAATTCATAAATTTGCCAGGTGTGGTGGCGCACACCTTTAATCCCAGCACTTGGGAGGGAGAGGCAGGCTAATCTTCGTGAGTTCAAGGCTATCCCGGTCTACACAGTGAATTCCAGGCCAGCTGTGGCTACAGGTAGATCCTGTGTCAAAAAGACAAAAACTTTGTCAGTCATGGTAGCACTCACCTTTAATCCCAGCACTTGGGAGGCAGAGGCTGGCCAACCTGGTTTACACAGTGAGTTTCAGACCAGCTGGGGCTACTGAGAGACTCTGTCTCAAAAAGATCTCCCCACTCCCAAAAATTTATAAATTCATCTTTAGAACGACTTAAAATCAAAATTAACACTAGAACACTAGATGGGGGAATATAATATTTTCTTATTTTCTTAAACATGGTGTGCAGCCGAGACTATGTTATAAATAGAAAAAAAAAAAAAAAACCACCCTCAGAAAAGCTCGCAAATTCAAGAAGAAAGAGAGCTATTTTAGGTTGTCTTTTCAGTCTGTAATACCAGGATGAAATATTTATACAAAGAAACAGATTTTTCTCTTAAAAAATCATAAATATTTCAATCTGGAAAAATTATTGTAACAATACTCTAAGGTAATTTCCACAGGCAAATCAAAATGAAAAAATAGTCCTTTTAAAGAGACTTCAAAATATCTCCAAGCATAGCCTTTCCAAAGCTAAATGAAATAATGAATGGACTGAAAACTATAAACCTTTAGGACCGGATCTCCTCTTTCTACAACCTCTTCCTGCCTGTGAATTTCTTAACCTAGAAATGCCATTCAAGCAAATAGTCATCTCCTGCTGGGAGCAAGACTCTTTATATACTAAATGTTCCAATTAACTAAAAACAAAATAACCATTCATGGCTTAAGAGAGCAGGGGAAGGGGGCTGTTAGGGGCAAACCTTGGCTTTGGTAGCAGCTGAGGCAAGAGCAGCTGCTGCGGCTGTGGCAACGTTTCCTTCAGAAATTTCGTGTTCTACTTTCTTCTTCCCAGTATCACTTTCTCTTTCTTTACAAGTATCAGTGAGTTCCTTGTTCTCGTCAGTTTCCTTTTCTTCTGAAATTATCAATAGGAGTATTGTGAGTATACCCACATCTCAATAACCTATCTTACTCACCTTTGCCATATGACAAAACAAAACTGATTTTACAAAAATATTTTAATGCCTTCTTTTCAAGCACTGTGTTGAATCATACTATGCATTTACTTAAGTATACCATTATTTCGGATATGGAACATGTAGTATTCATTTCCCTAAGCACTGCGTGTAGTTCCCTTGGATACAAAGGTTAAGTTCAGGGAACACAGCTTAAGAACTACATATTGGTTTATTAGTCAACAGAATGAGAACAACCTAAGGTCTGGAAGGAATTAGATGCTCACACACAAGTAAGTGGCAGTAGAACAGAATAGGACAGGATAGACAGACAGACAGACACAAAGGGAATTTAAATCTTGAAAATTTTCTTTCTTTCTTTTTCTTTGTCTTTTTGCAGATTTCTTCAGCCTTTACTGTGGCAAAACATAGTTACCAGAATAAGCACTGGTATCTAGCTGTATGTAAACTCCAAAGCATCTTTATTGTTAAAGGGATAAATCCAAGCCAGGACATAGTGGCCCAGGCCTATAAAGTCAGCTTTTCTGAGGCTGAGATAAGAGGATAATAAATACAAGACGTGCCTTGGAAATCTTGGTGAGCTCCTGGCAGCTTAGTGAGTGCCTGTCTCAAAAAAGTTTTAAAGTAAACAAATAAGAAAACAAATCAACAGAACTGCAGAGTTTAGTGTTACCGTATACACAATTCCCTAGGCTTAATCCCCCATCATCCCCAACACAAAGTAAATGAAGAATCTCAGTATAGTGGAACAAGCCTACAATCCAGAATGTGGGAGGTAGAAGCAGGCAGATCATGAGTTCCAAGCTATCCTCAGCTACATAGCAATTTCCAAGGCAGCTTGGACTATGTCAGATTCTGTCTGTAAAAAACAAACAAAGCAAAACTGGTTAATAAAACCCAAGTTACCTGATTTGATGTCTTCATTAATTTCACTTTCTTGCTCCTTTTCACTGTTCTTTTCAATTTCTCCATCTTGTGTTTTATCACCTTCACCTGTTTCATTTTCCACTTTGTTTTCTACCTGAAAGAAGTACAAAGCAGGGGGTAAAGAGATGGCTCAGCAGCTAAGAGTACTGACTGCTCTTACAGAGGATCCGAGCTCGAGTCTCAGCACCCACATGGCAGCTAACAATTGTTCTGTAACTGCAGTTCCAGGGGATCTGATGTTCTCTTCTGACCTGGCAATATTGCACAACATGGGTGCACTTGTATACATGTAGGCAATATGCTCATACATACAAAATAAAAATAATAAACAAAATATTTTAAAAAGAGAAGTACAAAACAAAAGAACAAGGAGTAAGTTAAACAGTTCTGTTAAGGGTGAAATTACCTTAACCTAAAAACAGGTTTTAGTATATTTGGCAATAAATGGACAAGATTCAGAAGAACTAGAAACTAGAACAGTCTTTTTAACCAATTAAACACATAAATGCTCACAAGATTATATGTCTCCCAAGGACACAGCCCCTGTTGTCCTGTAACCTGTGCTACAAAGCCATGGTTCTAATACCGAAAGGAAAATCAGAGTAATTAACTAGTATTATTTATTAGTTAAAAAACAAGTACTAAAAAAAAGTACTTAATTGATTAGCTTTCTTTTTCAACTCTGTGTGTTGTTCATGTGTGTGGTTGTGTGTTTTTATGTTCAGAGAAATGTATGTTTGGGTATGTATACATGTGGAGGCCTGAAGCTGATGTTGGAATCATCTGTGATCACACTTCCACTTTATTCACCAAGGCAGGGTTGTTCAAGTCATCCCAGTCTGTGGATCTGACTGTGCCTTCTGGGGCTGGAATTATAGACAGGCCTACATGTCTCTACCTGGGATTTATGTGGATTCTGGGGATCTAAATAGCCAGTGCTTAATGACTAAGTCATTTTCACAATCCCTGATTAGTTGTTTTAAGGTCTAAATGCACTAGAATTTTACACTGTCAAGTAAGAAGCAAGAAGGGATGCTGTCAGAAGAAAAATCCAGTTAAATTATTTAATCATACTATTTATTGATGGGTTTAAAGACTGTGAATTCCTGTGGCACTGAGCATATAAAGAACATACTCTACAAAGTGGAGAGACTATTATTGAATTAATTAAGGCTATCTTAATTAAATAAAATCATAAATAGGTACACAGTATCTGAAATACTGCAGGAAATGTATTATTATCCAGATACTCTCTTTATCTATATAAAATTTTGTACTGCCACATGAAATGAGAACTTAAATCCCTGCTTGCATATAGCAACTGACTGCACATTATATGGTGCAGCTGATAATATAAACACCGATGTGTTCTTACAGGGTGGTTGTGTAGACTATCCAACTCTGCTGAACCTTTACTATCTCATGTGAATAGGGACTAGATCAATAACACAAAAGCTCATGATGTCACTGATAACTCTTTAATTCTTCATCATCTATTTCAATCATTACAGTTCTATCTGCTCTTTAAAAACTACCTCTAATGAAAGCTTCTTATTAATTCTTTTCTAAATATTCTTCTGCTAGCAGTTAACTCTCTTGTGAAATAATTTAGTATTCTATAATTCTCGTCTACCATAGTATAATAGGACCTAGGTCCCACAAGTCAATATTCACAAGAACCACAACTTTTGTATTCATACTCCCAGTGGGCCTGAAAGGGGAAAAAAGAAGGGGCTAAGGTGTGGATAATCTGTAGTGAATAAATCAACTGAACTATCTTATATAATATTTTGTGAGAACTATAACTTAAATTAAAAAATTGACTGGTAGTCCAATGAAAGGGACTCAACTGATCAAAAAACCTCCAAACCATTAATTGGAAAAGGTATACTCCCTATGGTTTTCTTGTAATACAACAAACAGACTTTACCTTCTCAGGTTGTTGACCATCAGACTCTGTTTCCATCTTTTCTTCTTCAGATCCTTCTAGAATGAAAAAACAAAAACAATAAGGAAGCTGACCAAAATCTAGAACATAATAGAACATCTGAAATACCTTTTTAGGCAGTGTAATCAATACCCTGACATCTACAGGGTTGTAAAGGAAATCAAAGAGCAAATAGTAAATACTTCAGGATGAAGTAGAAAACATTCAGAGCACCAAAATACTTTAAAATATCAGCACTGTGGGCCTGGCATAGGAGCGTATGCATTTAAGTCATAATACTTGATAGGCAGAGACAGGAGGATCTCTCTGAGTTGAAAGTCAGCCTGGTCTACAGAGTGTGCAACAAGCCATCCAAGCTACAAAAGTGAGACCCTGCCTCAAAAATATAAAGGAAACAAGTATCAGAACAATGGTTAACCAGGGAAGGAAAAGGTAGATCAGACAGCAGGTTGGGTTGAGGGGATCTGGAGTGCTGGTGCTGTTATTCCTTCATCTGGGGCTGTTTATGGGAAAGAGTGTATTTGTGAAAATGCACTATGCACTTTAGGAGATACATACACACAAGCACACACAATATTTGTTACAGTATAATATATTACATATATTAAGAATCAAATTTTTATAAATCAGGAAGAATTCATGACATAACAGACATTAATGAGTGCATATTTTCAGAAAGGCACTGAAAAATCACTGCTCAGTCCCACAGTGGCTGAAGCCACAAAAGCATCAACTTTGGCTTGAGGGGACAGAGGTCAACAGTCCAGTAGAGCATGGTGCAGGCAGAGGAGCAATGATGTGATGCTGCGAGAAGTGTATGACTACCTTAATCACAGAAGGATAAACGATTACATGAGCATTTCCTAAACGGCCACGGCAAGCGGGAAAGAATACAATAATACATGTCCCCTGAATACCATTTTAGGGGAATAAAATATACGATTGTGTGAGGAGGTAGTATAAGCCAAGAGATGAGAAAAATTAGAAATTTGGGGGAGAATGTTGGAAAAGCTGTAATAAAGTATGCTGAGTTTGCAGTTACAGCGGTTATTCTTCAATTTAAAACTTAACATTTTTTAAATCAAGAATATTCGCTGTTAGAATTGAGGAAAATTGTGCTTTGAAGCCAACCTCAGAGGTATAGAAATGGTATATATATATATCAATCATCAGTCAGGCAAGGAGGCACATGTCTTTATTACCAGCACTTGGGAGGCAAAGGAAGGTAGATCTTTGTGATTTTGAGGACAGCCTAGTCTGCACATTGAATTCTAGGCCAGTTAAGAGACATTTAGATCAGGTCTTACATCAACAACAATAACAAAATCAGATCTCTTTAGAAAATAACAGTGCAAACATCTATTGATTAGGAAACCTGTAGTCTAGTTTATTAATACAGGTCCTTGGATCACCTTTTTTCCCCAGAATAATGGCTAACTAGCAGCTTTAGTTATGTTGGGGTGAGGTATCGAAGATTCTTACCCAAGGCAGAAGTGCATATACTGATCAATATGTTCCAAGAAATGCCATGAAGCTCACAGTACCAAAAGTGGACCAGATCATGGAAAAACTAAGACAAGGACTTGCATGGGGCAGGTTCACCAACACATAATCGCCATCAAGAAGCTAAACTGTAGGCTGGATGTGGTGGCCCTCATCTTTAATACCAGAATTTAGGAAGCAGGTGGCTCTCTGTTAGATCAAGGCCAGTATGATCTACACAGCCAATTCCAGGCTAGATGGGGCTACAGGGACAACTTTCCAAAACAAAAAACAAGGAAAAAAAAAAAAAAACCCACCAAAAAACAACACAACACAATACAACACAACACAAAACAAAACACACACACATACAAACCCACCACCAAAAAAGCTAAGATGTTGGCTAAGTCCAGGGAAGACTCATATTCCTGCACAGAGCTGGCCAAAAAGTTGGTCAACATGATTATAAATAAACTATAACAAACCTTGGCTATTAAAAAAGGGTCAAGATCCTCAGTGGTTTTTTTTTTTTTTTTTTTTTTTTTCGGTCTTTTTTCAGACAGGGTCTCCCTGTAGCCCCAGCTGGTCTAGTACGCACTATGTAGACCAAGCTAATCCTAAACTCAGAGAGATCTGCCTGCCTTTGCCTCCAGTCAGTGTTGGGACTAAAGGCATGCGACATCACACCTTTTAAAACCCAATTTCATTCCAAGAAACTGTCAAAGTAAAAGGGTATAATTATAGCAAATGTGCATCAAGAAAATTTACCACAATTGACACAGAAAAATTACGTAATACATTTAGCATATACCTTGAATATAGCATAGTCAAAGACTCAAGGATGTAGCATTTAAAGGAACTAGCAAGAGTATACGAACAGTATTTTCATGAATAACCAGAAGAGCAAAATGATGTATTAGAAATGAAGTCAAGGTAAACCAGAAAAACTGGAAAAGATATAATAAACGACCCAGATATACAATAGGAAAATGGGAAACATAAGGAAAAAGTAAATCCAAACAAGCAAAATAAATATAAATAAATAAATAAAATAATTCATGGGGGCCAGTAAGAAAATTCAGCAAATAAAAGCAATTGCTATACAACCCTGGGAACCTGAGCTCAATCATTGGAAACCAAAAAAGTAAAGAACCAACTCTGAAAAATAATCCTCTGACCTCTTTATGTGCCACTGTGATCATACACAAATAAATAATAAAACTCAAATACATTTTAAAACATCATAGAATGCTAGTTGTTCCCTGGTACTATTTATTAATCACTATGGGCATTTAGAAGGGAGTATCAGGGGGTGGAAAGATGGCTGAGAGGTTAAGTTCCCTGGTCTTGCAAAGGGCCTGGGTTTGGATTCTAGCACCAATATGGTAGATAACAAGCATCATGAACTACAGTTCCAGAGTAATCAATGCTCCCATACGGACTCTATGGGCATTGAATGCACATGGTATACTCACATAAATACATGTAGGAAAAACATTCATACACATAAAATAAATTAAGAACAATAACACCACACTCCACTCAACCTGGTCTATATAGTGAGTTCCAGGCTAACCAAAGCTACACAATGAGACCCTGCCTCAGAAACATCAAGAGGCAAAAAAGGGCAAGCCCAAGGGCTAAAGTCATGGTTCAGTGCTTTAAGAGAACTTGAGATCTTGAAGAAAACCTGATTTCAATTCCCAGCACCCAACATGGGAACTCGCAACTGTCTTCTGGCCTCCATGGACACTGTACATAGATGCTTTAAATAAAACACACAGGAAATGACCTAAACTGCCCACTCTGTAGTAAAACAAGAAAAAGAACTGAGTTATTATGATCACACATAAAATATTTTAGGAGTGAATGAAACAGCTACTTAGATAAAACTCTGAGTTAAAAAGAAAAAAAAATGTGGGTGGAGAGATGGCTGAGGAGTTAAAAGCACTGACTGCTCTTGAAAAAATGTGGGTGGAGAGATGGCTGAGGAGTTAAAAGCACTGACTGCTCTTGCAGAGGACCTGGGTTCGATTCCCAGCACCGACACAGTGACTAACAACTGTCCTTAACTACAGTTCCAGGGGATCTGATGCCCTCTTTTGATCTCAGAGGGCATTACACAACAGACAGGGTGCACTTACATGTAGGGAATATACTCATAAAGAAAAAAGCCAGGTCTCAAAAATCTAAATATTCCATATTTTATAGATTTAAACTAAGCAAAATTATATGTAACACGTGTTGTTTAAGTGCATCTATGTTTGTGGAGAAAAAAAAAAACCATCCTCATTTGAAAGTACTTAGAATAGTATTTAAAATTTAGGATGCCACTGTAGGAATGGGAAGGTGAGATGAGAAAAGGAAGGAAGATGATCAATAATATTGATTTTTTTTTTTTTGTAAGTATTTTTCAGATAGGATCTCTCTGTAGCCCCACCTGGCTTTGAACTCACTAGGTTAGCATTGAACTCACAGCAATCTGGCTCCCTCTGATATTAAAGGCGTGGGCTACCACACCCTGCCAGTATTCTGATTCTTAAAACTTCTGCCTTTTGGGCAAGGCGTGGTGGCACACGCTTTTAATCCCAGCACTCGGGTGGCAGAGGCAGGCATATCTCTGTGAGTTCAAGGCCAGCCTGGTCTACATAGTGAGTTCCAGGGCAGCTGGGGCTACAGGGAGACCCTGTCACAAAAAGACCAAAAAAAAAAAAAAAACCCAAAAAACAAAAAAAACTTTTGCCTTTAATCCCAGGCCTTGGGAAGCAGAGGCAGGTGGATCTCTGTGAGTTAGAGGCCAGCCTGGTCTACATAGTGAGCTCCAGGTCAGCCAGGGCTACAGAGAGACCCTGTCTCAAAAAAGACCAAGAAAATCAATTTTTGCCAAGCTATGGTAGCACAATACTTGAAAAGCAGAGGCAGTTGGATCACTGTGAGGCTAGCTAGGTCTACAAAGCAGGTTCTGGGCCACCAACAGTGTGATCCTGTCTCAAACAATAACAATGACCACAACAAAAAACTTGAGAAAAAATTTAACTTTTTTTAAATTTGGAGGGTGGGGAGAGAGATATCTGCTTTTGAAAACAATACCTACAACTACCCCACAACTGCCAGGTGTGGGGGCACACCTTCAATCCCAGCACTCAAGAGGCAGAGGCAGGCAGTTAATCTGTGAATTCAAGGGCAGCCTAGTCTACATAGCAAGTGCCAGGCTAGCTGGGGCTACAGGGAGACATTGTCCCAAAAAGACCAAAAAAGTAAAGAAAAGAAAATACCCACAATTATATTTCCACATTACAACAGTATTGTATTCATACTCTCTGTGATAAGGCAAATTTGACATCAACTTTTTAATTGGCTATGATTCCAAAATGAAAGTTTATATAATATTAGCAACTACTTATATGATAATGGTCATTAAAGACATTATCATATCATAAAGAGAAAAATCGAAGGACTATGCTAAGATTCTTAGAGACACCTTAAAATAGTTTACTTATACGCTATGTATTTCTTTCATGACACTATAAAAATCCAGCCTCTCTTTGGTCTGAACTGTGTACCATTAAGAGGCTGCAGACATACATGTTCCCTTATCTTTTGGTGCTGATAAACAGAAGGCTGTGAATCCTTCCTCCCAGCTAGGATGAATCAATTCTTTTTTTTTAATATTTCAATTATTATTTTTATTTTATGTGTATGAGTGTATTGCCTGCATGTATTGTGAATGCACATGTGTCATGCAATGCCACGGAGGTCAGAAGAAGGCTTCAGATTCCCCTGGAGCTGGAGTTGGGATGGTTTGTAGCCGTCATGTGGGTGCAGGGAATTGAACCCGAGTCCTCTGCAAGAGCAGTCAGCGCTCTCAACCGCTGAGCCATCTCTCCAGCCCCAGGATGAACCAATTCTTAAAACTCTAGCCGGGTGTGGTGGCACACGCCTTTAATCCCAGCACTCTGGGAGGCAGAGGCAGGTGGATCTCTGTGAGTTCAAGGCCAGCCTGGTCTACATAGTGAGTTCCAGGTCAGCTGGGCCTACAGGGAGACCCTGTCTCAAAAAGACCAAAAAGCAACAAAAAAAACCCACAAAAAACTCAACTCCAAAGAAAAGATGGTACATGGCATAAACTGAAGGGCATTTACCAAAGACATTCTAATAATAATATGGTTAGCAAAAGCAGGACAAGGAAACGATCAGAAATCATTTCCTAAAGGATAGAAGGAACTGGAAAAGTTAAGATTGGGTGATACCCAAATACCTATAAAATAGGAGCTTTTAGAAAAAGGTCTGGGGGCTGGAGAGATGGCTCAGTGGTTAAGAGCACTGGTTGCTCTTGCAGAGGACCGAGGTTCAATTCCCAGTACCCACATGGCGGCAAGCAATCGTCCTAACTCCATTCCTAGGGGACCTGACACCCTCTTTTGCGGTCTGCAGGCATTGCATGACATGGGTGCACCTTACCTACATGCAAGCAATATACTCATACACGTAAAATAAATTTTTTTTAAAAAGAGAGAAAAGAAAAAGGACTAAGATGGGGATGGGGGCTTACATCTTTAATTCCAGCACTTCAGAGGCAAAGGCAAGTGGTTCTCTGTGAGATCAAGGCCAGTCTAAAGTCTAAAGTCTACAAAGATTATTTCCAGGCAAGCAGGGGCTACAAGAAAACCCTGTCTCGAAACATACACAAAGCTGTGAATGAATTAATAGGGTGTTATCCCTGGTTATTTAATTAGTCCTATAATTATTTAATAGGAATTCTCTCCATTTTCTATACTTCACTTGTAAACTGTAAGCTATTCTATTAAAAAATTTGAATGATGCTGCTATTAGTCTGATGACTTCAACAAGGCTACAAAGTAAAGACCATCAAAAAACAACCAAATACCCTCAAGATCTGAACCTACCCACAGAACCTGATCTTCCCAGATTGCTTCCAAAATGAGCCATCCAAATTCACTGTTTGAAAATGTCACCTCCTCTGCACCTTTAAGTGCTTCTAGTTGCAGCTAGTCTTGAAGTACTCTCATCTCCTTCCTCTCTACAAAGAACTGTTTACTTAACTGCATGATTCAAAAAGTGTGTTCCAGAGCTGGGTGTGGTAGGGCACACATTTAACCCCAGCACTCCAGAGGCAGAGGCAAGTGGATCTCTGTTGAGATAGAGAACAGCCTGGTCTACACATGAGTTCCAGGCTACTGAAGGCTATAGGGAGACCCTGTTTCAAAAAGCAAAGACAAATAAAAAAGTATTCCAGGAACTCTTGCGGTGTCCAAAGGAAGAAGAGTAATTTTTTAAAAGACTGAAGTATTATTTGTATTTATTCATACATTCTTACATGGAGCTGTGAATTACTTTTCTTAAATATACAGGGTCTCACCACATAGCCCAGACACATCATGAATTCACAGAGATTTGCCACTTCTGCCTCCAGGTACTGGGAATAAAAATGTTAGACAACAGAACTAATCCAGCTTTTCAGAGAAACATTATACAAGATAAAGGCACTGAACTGACAGCTAAACAAAAGAGTTCTGGCGAATCCTTTTAGAAGTTATGGTTTCTGGGGCTAAAGAGATGGCTCAGCAGTTAAGAGCACAGGTTGCTCTTGCAGAGGACCCAGGTTTGATTCCCAGCACCCACATGGCAGCTAACAGCCATCTGTAACTCCAGTTCCAGGGGATCCTACGTCCTCATCTGGCCTTGTTGGGTACTGCATAACATAGGTAAACTTATATACATACAGGAAATACACTCATACACATAAAATATTTTTAAAAAAAGAAATTATGGGGCTGGAAAGATGGTTCAGCAGTTAAGAGCACTGACTACTCTTGCAGAGGACCTGGGTTCGAGTCCCAGCACCCACATGACGGCTAACCTCTGAGGCATTGCACAACATGGGTCACTCATATACATGCAGGCAACAGACTCATACACATAAAATAAAAATAAAATATTTTTTAAAAAAAGAAGTTATAGCCAGGTGCGTTGGCACACGCCTTTAATCCCAGCACTCAGGAGGCAGAGGCAGGCGGATCTCTGTGAATTCAAGGCCAGCCTGGTCTACATAGTGAGTTCCAGGACAGCTGGAGCTACAGGGAGACCCTGTCTCAAAAAGACCAAAAGAAAAAAAAAAGGAAGTTAGTTTCTTTTTTTTTTGTGGGGGGTGTTTTTTTAAGACAGGGTCTCCCTATAGCCCCAGCTGGCCTGGAACTCACTATATAAGCCAGGCTGGACTTTAACTCACAAAGATCCCTCTGGCGTCTGCCTCCTGAGTGCTGGGATGCATGCACCAGTAGAGGCCCGACCAGTTTCTAATCTTCTTAAAAACTCACTTTTAGGTATATGAATGTTTTGCATCCATGTACGTCAGTGTACCCATGCATGCAATGCCAACAGGGGCCAGAAGAGTATATTGGATCTCCTGGAACTGAGTTATGATGGTTGCACAATGTAGATGCTGGGAACTGAATCAGGGTTCTCAGCAAGAGGAGCCAGTGCTCTTAACTGCTGAGCCATCTCTCCAGCTTGGTTTCTAGCTTCTTAATGGTGTTGGTCTCATATATGCTTAGCAGGTATGCTACCTGGGCATTTTTTTATTATCTCTAAAACATTAAGTATGGCTGAAGTCACAAAAAAAAATCTTCCACTTCTGTTTTGGTGACTTTCGTCTCACTGTTCTACAGAATAGAATACTTGTTCCAATCTGCTGAGACAGTCTACACTGTCTCAATACTTAGCTCAAACCACAATTTTTTTATTAAGACTTCTTCAGGCTAAAACTATGTCTCTCCCTAATAATTTAAGGGCTGGAGAGATGGCTCAGTGGTTAAGAACACTGGATGTTCTTGCAGAAGACCCGGGTTTGAATCCCAGCACCCACATGGCAGCTAACAACTGTCCTAACTCCAGTTCCAGGGGATCCGACAGCCTCTTCTGTCCTCTGTGGGGATTGCACGACACAGGTGCACTTATCTACATGCAGGCAGTACACGCATACACATAAAATAAAAATATTTTTTTTAAAAAAAGTAAACAAGGAAATACCACTTATATATCCAACAGAACAAAAAGTCTGCTCACAAAATGTACAAAAATACTTATTACACTATTAGTAAATAGTGTAAAGATGGAAGAAATGCAAACGTTTAAGAGCAGATGAACAGTTAAAGAGTACACAGATGCAAAAAAGTACTATTCAGCAGACCAAAGAATGAAACACTAATTGATGCTACCTGCATGAAACTTGGTAACATTATAGTAAAAGACAAGAAGCTGGCCATGAAAGGCTGTATGCTACATGGCTGCCTTATATGAACTGTTGAAAATAACAAAGTCCACAGAGAAAGTCAAGATTAGGCACTCTCAGGCCTCAGAAGAATGGGGGAGTAATGATAAAAAGCTTGTAGCTGAGGCAAGAGGACCAGGTTAGTGTAGACTACAACACAATGAAACTGTCTCAAAAAAAGAGAAATCCCCAAGAGTGAGAGATCCCCTTTAATGGAGAGGTTAGTGACTGGAGAATTAGGTAATGGTGATAAATGCTCTGAACTGTGTATATATTAGAAACTACTATATTTCACATTTTTAAGTAGTTAAAATGGGGGATTTTATATAATAAATACTTTCCCCAAGTTACAAAACAAAAGCAGTAACAACAAAAAAGGAACTCAGGAGGCAGAAGGCCGCCAGAATGGTCTACAGGAGGAAGTTCAAGAATAAGAACTAAAATGGAAGACCCTGTATGTGTGGGTGGGTGGAGGGGGGGACAGGACACAATTAACTCAATACATATAAGTAAACAAATATGTTCCTTTGGGATTCTTCTCCTCTCTATGTTCAAAACCTATGAACAGTCACAAATAATTCATAATTGTGCTGTTGCCAGGTATGTTTTTGTAAATTTCTAACACACACACACACACACACACACACACACACACACACACACACACAGAGTAAAAGAATTCTGCGCTAATTTATGGGTCAAGTTTCCGCTGAACATTGTAACTGAAAGCAAAACCCACTATTTTGCATACCAAAATGGAATATAAACATCTATTAATCAAGCCCCAGAGCACAGCAGTGACTCACCAAGCTTCTCTGGCTCATCAGGGCCAGTGCCTGCAATACAGCTGCTTTCCAAGCCAAAGGTGGGATCCACCTTCCCAGAGGCTCGTGCGGCTTCTTGTACTTTCTTGACATGAGCTTCAACCAATTCCAGGGGTACCTCCTCTCGGACCCGAGAAAACTCCTCTGGTTCAAGAATAAAAGTAGAACTGAAACTTCCATTTTGCAAAAAACAGTTGATTCTATGTATGACCACTAAAATATCTGAACCAATATAATACTTTTGGTTGCAATGAACTCTTTGGGGCCCATTCTCTGTACCAGTAAAGTGCAAAGGTTAAAATAACACAATGAGATTCTACTATTCAAGGTTTTAATCTCAAACATAACATCTTCAAGCATACACACACAACATCTTCAAAGTTCTAACTGTAATGATAAATATTTTCAGGCCAGTGAATTTCTTAATGCCACAAAAACACATTCATTTCCACCCCCTCGTTTTAAGATAGGATCTTTCTGTGTAGACCAACATGATTATTTTGCATCTACATCCCCAGAGCTGGAATTTCACAGGCATATGGCAACACAGCCATTATCCATCTACTTCTAAACAAATACTACTGGGACTGATGTAATGGCTCAGCAGGAAAAGGAACTTGCCAGCAAGCCTGAAAATCTAAGCTGAAGTCCCAGAACACAAACAACAGAAGAGAACCAACTCTTCCACAAGTTGTCCCCCTGATCTCTACACATGCTGTAGAACATGCCTATATATGAAAAAGCATACATATACACATACATTTTTAAGAAAATTTAATATACCAACTAGTTTATTATAAATAAGAGCTATCTGACAATTTTTATAAAGCACATTATCTTTTTGGCTATTTACATAAGATAAATGTGATGGGGGAGGCTCTTGTGTTTGTAGGGAAGCTTACTTGCTAGCTGGCTCACAAAAACAGAGGTTGGCATCAGAATAGGTTTCCTTTATCACTTCTCCCTAGTTTGAGATTGGCTCTCTGACCAGATGGTCAGTGAGTCACAGTGATCTGCCTGTCTCTGTTCCCCAGGGCAGAAGTTAAATTACATACTGCCAGGCCCAGCTTTCCCATGGGTTTGAAGACTGAAACTCAAGTCCATATGCTACCATATAGGACACTTTACTACTCCCTGAGGCAATCCCCAGGTAATTATTCAGGTAATACTTGAATTTGAGATCTTTTTTCTCTTTCTTTTTTTTGGGGGGGGGTGGCGGCTGACAGGAAGTACATACCTAAAGCTGCTTTTGCTGCAGCAGATGCCACTCGAGGGTCAACCACAGATGCCAAAAAAGCAACAGTACTCATCACTGGATTTCCTGATTGGCTGAAAGGGACAGGTTGGTAAGCTAGTGGCCCAAGTGAAGCATCTGAATTTTCAAGGTATGGGTCCTCAATGGGAAGCCTCAAAAAGTGGAGGATGCATTCATCCTGAGTACGACTTCCAACATGTTCTGAAACTTTGTTCCAATCATCCTTGTACATCTCCAAGGCCTAAATTTAAAAATGTATAAATAAATAATCAAAGTGTTAATATTAGTAACAAGAAAGTAATGTGGAACAAAATTAGGAGCTTCTGGTTCTCTTCTTCAGTGACAGGGTCTTGCCTTTTTAGTACTTCTAATTCTTCTGCATCAGTCTCCCTCGTACTAGGATTAAAAACATGCAAAAACCACATGTAGCTTGTTACTATTCTTTAGCTAGAGCTTTTAAAAAATATTATGAGGGTTGTGGTGGTACATGTCTTTAATCTCAGATTCAGGAAACTGAAACAAAGTCTTTTCACCCACTAGACTAGGTGAAGTAACAAGATTCTGTTTCAAAATGCTAACATATATGGTTATTTGTACACTTTTAAAAATGGGTAGATATTACAGATTTTCTTATGGTAAGTTCTAAATTAGGCAAAAAAATAATAAAAGACAGAGACATGAGACTGTCCTTTACAAACACAAAACAACATTGCTTATATAAACACCCCCCCAAAAAAAATCTATGGGGGAAAATATTAATACTACATATTAAGGATAAAAAGAGAATAAAAAAACTTTTTTTTAACATCAAAGAATAATTTTAAATTGAAATAATATTTAAGATAGCATTAAAATGAAATGGGAATAAATACAATAAAGCATGTAAAATATCAATATGCTGAAAAAATAGCAGTGAGATAAAGTTAATTCAAGAGATGCCATAATATAAACAATTCCTTCCAAGTTGAACAAGGATAAAAAGAGAATAAAAAAACTTTTTTTTAACATCAAAGAATAATTTTAAATTGAAATAATATTTAAGATAGCATTAAAATGAAATGGGAATAAATACAATAAAGCATGTAAAATATCAATATGCTGAAAAAATAGCAGTGAGATAAAGTTAATTCAAGAGATGCCATAATATAAACAATTCCTTCCAAGTTGAACCATAGATCATCAAAAACTATAATCTGGGGTTGGCAAAATGGTTAGGCAGGTAAAGGTACTTTCTGAACAAGACTGGTGACCTGAGTTTCTTCGACCCTGGAAACAATGTAAAGTTGGAAGGAGAGACCTGATTCTACAAAACACTGACCTGCACACATGCTCACAGAAATCAAAAACCACATACATTGTGCCCCCCCAATCCAGAAAGAAAAAAGTGTAAGTAAGCTTTTAAAAAAAAGATTTATTGCCAGGTGAGGTGGCACATACCTTTAATCCCAGCACTTGGGAGGCAGAGGCAGGTGGATCTTTTTTAGTTCAAGGGGACCCTGTCTCAAAAAGACAAAAAAAAAAAGAGATTTATTTATGTGTATGTTTTGCCTGTTTGTATTGGTACCACATGCATACCTGGTGCCTGTGGAGCCCAGAAGACAACACTGGATCCCCTGGACTGGAGTTACAGACAATTGTGAACTACTATGAGAACTCAACCCAGAGCCCTCAGCAGGAACAAGAAAACCAGAAATATATGGTATTAAGAAATACAGAAGTGAGGGACTGGAGATATGGCTCAGCAGTTAAGAGCACTGGCTGTTCTTCAGAAGATCCAGGTTTGATTCCCAGAACTCACATGGCAGCTAACAACCATCAATAACTCCAGTTTCTGGGGATATGACACCCTCTTCTGTCCTTCTCAGGCACTGCACAACACAGGTACACTTATACACATGCAGGTATAACACTCTTACACATAAAATAATAAATAAATCAACCGGATGTGGTGGCGCCCACCTGTAGTCCCAGCACTTGGGAGGCAGAGGCAGGCGGATCTCTGTGAGTTCAAGGCCAGCCTGGTCTACGTAGTGACTTCCAGGGCAGCTGGGGCTACAAGGAGACCATCTCAAAAAACCCCAAAAACAAAATAAAACAAACAAACAAAAAAAAAAACAGGAAACCAAACGAAAAATAGGGCTTTGTAGTGGCTTACTGAAGTTACTTCAGTCCAGGGACATGATTTCCTGCCCTACTTTTCTCCTTGTTTTATGGTAGTGGAACCTGCATTGAAAGTGGGATGTGGTCTATGTGCTAGGTAGTTGCTTTTCCACAAAGCTACATGTCCCTAGCCCGTCTGTGGCTCTCAACCACAGGTAATTTGGGCTTGCTTAGGAATCTTGTCAGTACCTAGAAATTTCTGTCATAACACAACTGAAAAGGTCCTGCTAGTATTTCTGTCATAACACAACTGGAAAGGTCCTGCTAGTATACAGAGTGTAAAGGCCTCAACTACTACTAAACATCAGACAAAGAAAACAAAAATCACACCATAGGAGCTGGAGAGATGGCTCAGCAGTTAAGAACACTGTTCTTGCAGAAGACCCGGTTTGGATCCCAGTACCCAACAAGGCAGCTTACAACTGTCCGTAACTCCAGTTCCAGGGGATCAGAGGACCTATACTGTCCTCTGCGGACATTGCATGACACAGGTGCACTTACCTACATACAGGCAATACACTCATACACATAAAAATTAAAAAAAGAAAAAAAAATCACACCAAAATACAAAACGTAAGAACAACAATAAAAAACCCATCTGACTTAAATGTCAATTGTGCTGTGCCTGAAAAACTAGCTCTAATGTATAGCTGAACTGCAGTGAGATGAGCTCTCTCCATGTTTTATTTGGCTCAGTAATTCTTAACCCAGGGATCTAAATACTGCTCTAGACTTTCTTTCTTCCTAGAGTAACTCCTCCAAAACCAAGTCAGAGAATAAACCAAGTGCTATTCTTTAAATCATATTGCAAACATAACTAATTCTGGGTTTCTTCTGGATATTCAGTGACTTTAGGTTGTTCCAGAAGGAACCACTTTAAAAAACCAAAACACCACATTTACAAAAATATTTTTTTTTTTTGGTCTTTTTTGTGGCAGGGTCTCCCTGTAGCCCCAGCCGTCCTTGAATCTCACTATGTAGACCAGGCTGGCCTTGAACTCGCAGAGATCCGCCTGCCTCTGCCTCCTAAGTGCTGGGACTAAAGGTGTGCTCCACCATGCCCAGCTTATTTTTACTTTAAGTACATGAATGTATTTCCTGCGTGTATGCAAATGCACCCCTGTGATGCAATGTCTACAGAGGTTAGAAGAGGGTGTTGGATCCCTGGATTCCTGCAATTGGAGCTACTGAGGGCAGTTAGCTGACCATGCGGGTGCTGGGAATTGAACTCGGGTCCTCTGTAAGAGCAGCCAGGGCTGAGCCATGTCTCCGGCCCCAAAACACATTTTAAGAAAACAAAAGTATCTACTTTATGCTTTTCTGAATGTCAGTAATTGTTCCTTTCAGTTAGAAATATCAGGGCAGATTCTAAATTTTGCATTATAGGTAGAGCATACTCTATCAACCTTTTCTAATGTCCTTGTTATTTTTCTTTGACAAAACAAGAGACAGACAGACAGACAGACAGAATTTCAAGTGAGTTCCAGGATAAAGAGTCAGGGAACCCTTTAAGATGTAAAATTCAAACAATTACTGGCATTCAGAAAAGCATAAAGTAGAGAAAGAGTGAACGTCAAAGCTTAGGCACTGACTGTAGCATTAACACCAAATTGGAGATGTTTTCAAAAGAACATAAGGAAAGACTGGCCAGGAAGGAGGTATGGGAAGGATGACATATATAGAGACATTTTTAGTAGGTATTTCATGTCACTAGAAAACCCCTATAGTTTCTTCTGCTATAACACACGACCAAGTCTTCTTTGTTCCCTACTTAAGATTCTTAGAGTATCTCTTTATATTCTAACTCATCCTTCTCTGTTACAAGCTGAAATAAATTCAACACAAAACAAATTTTCTCTTAAATGATGTGCCTTTTCATCATTTTGCAATTTTTAAAATGAAATATGATTAGGTAACCCACACTCCTTCCTCCCTAAGTTCTAGGAACAGTTAGATCCCCAAATACTGTTGGAACACAATGAACAATAAAATCTATGAAACTACTCATAGGAACCTGGACCAACCAGAATATTTTACTTTTCTATGATATTCAAATACAGCAGTAGCATTATTTTCACAGCATCCTTTTTTTTGACAGCATGAAACCTCAAACCCAACATGCTAGCACTGAGCTACAACCTAAACCCTGATGCTCAAATTTCTAGGCATCATGTTAAAAAATAAGTGTTACTTGCCCACTATGATGAAGATATACATATTCACATAGAGTACAGATCAAAACAAGGTCTAATCTAAACAAGCTTTTTTTTTTTTCATTTTGATCTTACGCAGTAACTAAAAAACACATAAAAGTCTTCACTTCTAAAGGAGACCATGGAAACTATATTATTTTGTCCAATCCATACATTGAATTGATATTTTCAAACTTGAAAATAATTTCCAGTATTACTAATACGACAATGAATTGAACATAAACAAAATATATTAATCTTCTGCATTCACCCAGGAACTGGGCTTTGATAGGAGGTATTAAAGGCCTTAATTTTTGTTATAGTTTAATTAAAATCTCAAACATAACCACATTGCTACCTGATATATGTTTCTAACAAAATCCTGTGATTCTACGCTATACCTCTTGTTTGCCATTGGAGATGTAAGCTCTCAGCTATAGCTTCTGCCACTATGTCTCCCTCTTATAAAGGATTTTTATTCCTTTGGAGTCCCAGGAAATGGTAAGAACCTATATGAATAATGCAAATATATTACTCAACTATTGAGAAAAATGAAATTATGAAATTCAAGTTTAAATGGATGCTTGGAGTAGTGGTGAACACCTTTAAACCCAGCACTTGGGAGGCAGAGGCAGGCGCGGATCTTTATGAGTTTGAGACCAGATTGGTCTACATAGTAAGTTCCAGGCCATCTGATGCTACAGGGAGACCCTGTCTTCAAAATAAGAAAAAAATTTAAATAAAATTAAATAAAAAGATTAAATGGATGGACTGGAAACAACCAACTTGAATGAGTAAGATTAGCACATTTCTCAACCTTCATCAGAGACTTTGATTCTTACAGTAGATAGTTATTAACACAAGGACCTACCAACTGGTCAACATGAAGAAAACAAGAGACTGGAGTGATCAACTTTAAATGGGACAGATGTCACCTGTCGCATGTAATCTGACACCTCTCCTTCAGGGATCATTTCAGAAGATAAAGATGTTAAGAGCCAGGGCAGTGGATGACTACAACAAAATAATGGTTTTAGGACACAACAGGGTAGTTGCATGTATAAACTCACAGCAATTGTGACAGCATGCATTAAAACTTGTGCAAGCTCAAAAACAATGCTGCAGAAGTGGGCAAGAAACCTTAACCTTAACTGAGAAGTGATTGGTAACTGATAGCTGTTAGGAGAGGGAGAGTCAGTTTTCTTTAGGGGTGTGACCCCAGGTAGATCAAACACACTCCAGGGGATGGCTCTACAACCAAGAGTATTTAGGGAACACAAATTTGACTTGATAATCATAAAAAAAGGACAAGAACTCAGGTGGGGAGGAATGCCAGGGATACAAATGAGATGGGTTGGGTGAAGGCAGTGAATATGATCAAAATGCACTATATGGTGTTCTGAAAGAATTAATAAAAGTATTATTTGGGGCTGGAGAGATGGCTCAGTGGTTAAGAACACTGGTTGATCTTGCAGAAGACCCAGGCTTGAATTCCAGCACCTACATGGCAGGTAACAAATGTCCATAACTCTAGTCCCAGGGGATCCGACAGACTCTTCTGACCTCTCCGGGCATTGCATGACACGGGTGTACTTACCTACATGTAGGCAATACACATAAAAATATAAATTAAAGAAAGAAAGAAAGAAAGAAAGAAAGAAAGAAAGAATTATTTAAGGGGCTTGGAGTGATGCCAAGTACACTGCATGTTCTTACAGAGAACCCAGGTTTAGTGCCTAGTAACCCACACGGTGATTGACAACTGTCCGTGACCCCAGTTCCAAGGTTTCCAATGCCCTCTTCTGGCATGTGTGGGCATTGTACTCATGGTGCACTTAAATACATGTAAGGCAAAACATTCAACTACATAAAATGAAAATAATTTAAAAATATTGCATAATTCTTTTTGGAAACAAAAGCCAATGTAAACACTACATCTATCTTTTGAGGAAAAAAAAAAGATCTAAATTTCTTCCGGTTATGAATTAATTCATAATTTTCATCAGATTTAATGTTCTGGAGCTTTTATTTTTCCCTTGAGGAAGTGTACGTGTATATATGTGCATCGGTGGGCATGTCCAGGAATAAGCATGAAAAACAGAAGTCAATGGTAGAAATCTGTTAACAGTCTCCAATCTATTGTTTGTGAGGGGGACTTTCACTAAAGCTAGAGCTCACTGTCTAGACTGGCTGGCAGCAAGCCCCCAGAATCAAGCCGGTAAGACATTTCAGCTAGTGAAAGTACTTGCTGCCAAAACTGACAATCTTAGTTTAATGACCTGGGACCCATATGATACAGGGAAGGAATGCTCTACTAAAAGATGTCCTCTAACTAACACACACACACACACACACACACACGTTAAAAAACAAATCAAAACAAAACCCTGCCATCCTCCAGTCTCTGCCTCCCAGAGAACTCTGGAGAAATGGCTTAGAAGTTAACAGCACCAGCTGCTCTTGCAGAGGACCTGGGTTCGATTCTTAGCATCCATGTAATGGCTAGTTTCAGGGGATCTGACCCCTTCTTCTGACCTCCATTAGCAATGCACAACATGGGTGCACTACACACAAGCAGACAACATACTCATACACACAAAAAATATAAATAAGGAAATTCTTTGAGTAGCAGCCTCCAAAAATAAATTTTCTCACAATTCTAAAGGCTGGAAGAACTAGACCTCACTGTTGTCCTCCCAAGGCCTTTCCTTGGTACTTGCACAGGAGAGACAGAAACTTGCTTTGGTTTGTTTTTGAGGTAAAGCATCACTCCGTAGTCCAAGCGGCCATCCAACTGACAATCTTCATGCCTGTGCTTCTTGAATGCTGAGATTTCAGGTATGCATCAACATGGTATTTCTTTTTGTTTTCAGGTTTTTTACATTTCATTATTCTTCTATTTTTTTTGAGACAGAGTCTCCCTATAGCCACAGCTGGCCTGGAACTCACTATGTAACCCAGGCTGGCCTCAATCTCACAGATTCTCCTGCTTCTGCCTCCCAAGTGTGGGACTAAAGGTGTCCACCACCACACCCGGCTACTTTCAGGTCATCCTATATATGTATCTGGCTGGCATGGAACTTGGAATCCTTAGGTACCAGTCTTCCAAGTGCTGAAATTAAAGGCTTGTTATCTACCATGAAAATCAACCTTTGAGCTAGTGATTGCTCTAAACAAACCATATCAATGGAAGATGTTAGTTGGTAAACAATGCTACTTTAGAAGGCTTTTATTTCTTTTTATGAAAGAGCAGATAATACATGTTGACTCAACTCCCTGTGTGAAAGAAAAAGCACCCCACCACAGATTCCACCTGCAGGAAAGAAAACAGAGTATTGTTTAAGGATACTGTGGTTTTCTTCAATATGCTCAGGTTAAAAGTCACTCAGGGACTCTTACCTCACTCTATGTTTACTATCCACACCATCTTAACATAGAGCATCATTGCACAGCAAGAAAAATTATCACTATTTCCAGCTGTAGTACAAGTAAAATTTTCCTGAGAGCGCAGTTTCAAACAGCAATAAAAAGTAAGTTAAATCTACCTGTGAACTTTGAGAACATTCTTCTTTTTAATTAGTATCCATGTAGCTATGGCAAAACAAAAAGTTCTCAACTTCAGCCGGCTGTGGTGGCACACGCCTGTAGTCCCAGCACTTAGGTGGCAGAGGCAGGCAGATCTCTGTGAGTTCAAGGCCAGCCCGATCTACGTAGTGAGTTGCAGGCCAGCTGGAGCTAAGGGAAACCGTGTCACAACAAAACAAAACAAAACAAAACAAAACAAAACAAAACAAAACAAAACACACAAAAAGTTCTCAACTTAATAAAAAGTGAGTTTGAAATGACCCTCTTTTTATTACTGATATCAAAAGGGTTATTAGGATAAATTAAAACCATTAAAAAAATTTTAAAAAAAGACTGAAGAAAAATCAAGCAGAGATCAGTGATGAGGATTAAGGGGCTTAATCAGCTTACCTCCAGGAGTAGAAGTGTCTCCTGTTCTGTCCACTCTCTTCCAGCACTAGCACCTTTACTCTAAAGAAACAAAGAATTATTCACTTATAAAGAAGTAATGTAGATAGGACTCAAGCAGGATTTCTGTTAAAGAAGTGTTTCATATAAACCAAGGGGAATCCCTCAATAAATAAAACATTAAAGAAACTTAAACTCTAATAGAAAGACTGGCATATTTCAAGAATTTTTTGTTTTAAGAACTACTAGCATGTTTATTCTATAACTTTTTTTTTTTTTTGTCTTTTTGAGACAGGGTCTCCCTGTAGCCCAAGCTGTCCTAGAACTCACTATGTAGACCAGGCTGGCCTTGAACTCACAGAGATCCGCCTGCCTCTGCCTCCCAAGTGCTGGGACTACAGGTGTGCACCACCATGCCCACCTATTCTATAACTTTTGCAAGCTGTATACACAATATTTTAACTCATAACCAATCATCTATAATGATACAGAAACAATGTACAGGCAAGGAAGATAACTCAGTGTCAGGTAAAGTCACTTGCTGCTACTCCTGACAACCTGAAATTGGTACCCAGAACCGACATGGAAGGATAACCCCAACACCCAAAAGTTGTACCCTGATTTCCAAATGCGCATGCCACAATAAATATGAAGAAATAAAAAAATTTTTCATTTTGTTTTTTATTTATTGTGTACTTGTAGGCCTTTAAGAATACATATCCTAAGGCCACTTAGGTATTCTATCCCTTGAAAAGGAGTGACAGGCAGCTGTAACCAGCATTCTGGGGACTGAACTCAGGTTCTCTGAAAAGCTGAAAGTGGTCTTAACCACTGAGACATCTTTCCCAGTATGATGGAAACAAAACAAACAAGGGGCTGGAGAGACAGCTCAGTGATTAAGAGCACAGGGTGCTCTTGCAGAAGACCCAAGTTCAATTCCCAGCAACCACATGGCAGTTAACTGTCCATAACTCCAGTTCCAGGGGATTTGACACTCTTTTCTGGCTTCTGCAGGAACTACACAACATGGGTGCACTGACATTCATGCAGGTATAACACTGATACACATAAAATAAAAACATCAACAATGGAAACAGTAAAACTTATAAACAGAACCTTTTTCAGCATTACAAGATAAAATGAACTGGATATGTAAAGTACTAGGATCCTTAATACCAATCACAACAATCTGATACTATCTATTCCTTTAAAAAAAAATCCAGCACTCGGGAGGCAGAGGCAGGCAGATCTCCGGATTTCAAGGCCAGCCTGGTCTACATATTGAGTTTCAGGCCAGCTGGAGCTACAGGGAGACCCTGTCTCAAAAAGACCAAAACACAAACAAAAAAACAAAACTCCAAATGGGGGCTGGAGAGATGGCTTGGCAGTTAAGAGCACCGGCTGCTCTTGCAGAGGACTGGGTTCAATTCTCAGCACCAATATGGCCGCTAAAAACTGTAACTCCAATTCCAGAGTATCCAACTCCCTCTTCTGACTCCTGCAGACATTGCACAACTCAGGTGTACTTACATACACATACACACAGGCAATACATGCATATATATAAAATTTAAAAAAAAAATTTTAATCCCCAAGTGACTCTCTAAACTCAAAGTCACGACTTTCATTAGTTCTTCTTAGCCAATAAATTCTCTAAGCTATGACAAGAAAATTAATTGTATGCTGCTTACAAGGTATAAAATATTAATCAATACATTCATACACTCTGATTTTCAGAACCTGTTCACTTATAGATCGATTGAGGGCTGGATCTGTGGAATGGTTGATAATATTCAGTGGCTGTAATTGTAACACAAATACACATATATAATAAAACATACAAGTTATCCAAAACTAAACTCGCAAATCTTACAAGGATTGTAGTAACTGAATAGAAAATGTTTACAGTCCATGATTTCCTTGTGTCAATAAAGCTTCTCAAATTAAATGATAAGGGGCTCTTGGAGAGATGGCTCAGTGGTTAAGAACACTGGCTACTCTTGAAGAGGAACTAGGTTCCATTCCCAGCACCACGTTAGCTAACAACTGTTCATAACTCCAATTCCAAGGGAAATCGACACCCTCATCTAACCTGAGTACTTAGATACATGAAGGCAATACACTCATACAAATAAGTAAAAACAAACATTAAAAAAATAAACTTAGGAGCTGGAGAGATGGATCAGCGGTTAAGACCACTGGTTGTTCTTGCAGAAGACCCGGGTTTGAATCCAAACACCCACATGACAGCTAAGAAGTGTCCATAACTCCAATTCCGGGGGATCCGACAGCTTTTTCTGTCCTCCATGGGCAATGCATGACACGGGTACACTTACCAACATGCAGGCAATACACGCATACACATAAAATAAAAATGAATATATCATTTTTAAAGAAATTTACCATTTTGCGAGGCGTGGTGGTGCATGCCTTTAATCCCAGCACTTGGGAAGCAGAAGCAGGCAGATCTCTGTGAGTTCAAGGCCAGCCTGGTCTACATAGTGAGTTCCAGGACAGCTGGGGCTACAGGGAGACCCTGTCTCAAAAATACCCCCCCAAAAAAAAAAATTTTTTTTTTTTCCATATTTAGTTTTGTGTGTCTGAGTGTATTGCTGGGATATAAGTGCACCTGTGTCATGCAATGCCCACAGGTGAGAAGAAGATGTCAGATACCCTGGAACTAGCATTATGGACAGCTGTTAGCTGCCATGTGAGTGCTAAGAACTGAACATGGGGGGCTGGAGAGATGGCTCAGCAGTTAAGAATACTAATTGTTCTTGCAGAAGACCCAGATTTGAATCCCAGCACCCACATGGAAGCTAACAACTGTCCATAACTCCAGTTCTAGGGGATCCGACGGCCTCTTCTGTCCTCCGCAGGAATTGCATGGCATGGGTGCACTTACCTACATGCAGGCATACACGGATACACATAAAATAAAAATAATAAAATAAAAATTTTTTTTAAAAAAGAACAGAACAAGGGTCCTCTGCAAGAGCAGTCAGTGCTCTTAACCACTGAGCCATCTCTCCACCCTCATCACAATTATTTTTAAATAGCTATCTGCTAATCATATTAAAGAAAAAAGTGAGGTAAGTGACTGCGAAAATTCCATCAGATTTCAGTAGAAACCTGACTTGCTCCCAACATAGAAAGTAAATTTTACTAAAGGAAAAATAATGCCAAAAGGACAAAGATGACAGTCTAGAAGGTGGTATATGTGAGTTTAGAAAAAAGTCTTCCTTTAATCCCAGCACTTGGGAGGCAGAGACAGGTGGATCTTTGTGAGTTCGAGGCCACCCTGGTCTACATAGTGAGTTCCAGGACAGCTGGGGTTAAAGGGAGACCCTGTCACAAAAAGACAAAAAAACAAAACAAACAAACAAAAAAACCACTTTACCTTTGCTAATGTTTTTTTCGAGTAAATGTCAGTTCGAAGACCAAAATTCTGCAAATCAATTGGTTTTTCTTTGTTCTTCTCAGGAAAATTTAACATCTGCTGTGCAGCAGGGACCTGTGACCAAGATAAATTACAAAATGACTGTATTAACCTGTTCAAAATCAAGGGGATATGCGTTTAAGTATTACTTGATATTGGCCCTTAAGTCATTCCTTGTAGATATTCTAAAAAAACAAATAAGAACAAAAATCAGTGAGATTACCTCCACATTAAACTTCTAAGTAAAACACAAAAAAACAAAAAGCTGGGCGTGGTGAGGTGTGCACCTTTGATCCCAGCACTTAGGAGGCAGAGGCAGGTGGGTCTCTGTGAGTTCAAGGCCAGCCTGGTCTACATAGTGTGTTCCAGGCCAGCTAGGGCTACAGAGAGACCCTGTCTCAAAAAGACCAAAAAATAAAACAAAACAAAAAGAAAAGCAAAAGAGAAAGAGAGAAGCATTCTGAACGTTCCCTTAGAGTCAAAGAAGATACTTTAATATTATATCGTATTTCACATGAAGAGAAACTACATAGCTTAGGTCCTGTTACACAGACGTACCGCTAGTTATAAACTGGCATAGCAACCTTTGCACCAATGTGTATGTCCACTTTCTATACCTCTTGTCAAGCTGTTGTTTTTAAATTCAAATTTCCAAAACACAGAATGAAGAGTAAGTTTTTATATTATCTGCTTATTTTTACTAGTATTATTTATGACAAAAGGATAAACATCAAGAACATATGCCTACAATTTCACAGGATAAAGTATTATCCTAGAATTGGTGGCACACTAATACCTAATACCTTAAACACAACACACCAATACACACACACACACACACCATAAAGAAACTGAAAACTATCAACTGAAAAATGACACTAAGAACACCATTCCTATCCTAGTCAGGAAGGAGGCATTAATGACTATTTCCGAATAGGATGGGTATGAAATGGTTTTCTATATCATATAAGCCTACAGGAAAGTCAGCACTAATTTACCTGAGGTGAACGAAGATGCAGAGGCACAAGTCCAGAGGGAGTATCAGCTAATACATTGAAATGAGGAGTAGGAGGGGGTCCCATTGCCATGGGTCGACTTTCCGGGTCAACTTGGTAGTTAACAAGCCCCCACTGCTCTAAGAAGGCATGGACCCTAAAGAAAAAAGCTCTGAACATTATAATCAAGATAATTAACCCCATCTGTAAAGCCAAAGTCAAGCAAATTAAGAAAATAAAATGAGGCAACCCACCATAGTACCAGAAAAATTTGGAGTTGTATAAAGGATAATTTCTCAAAACCCAAAAAAATGCTTATAATACACACCTTCAAAGCTGAGTACAAAGTAAAATAATAACTGGGTTGTGGGGATGTTTGATTAATTTTTTAGGCAGCTATGGCTGCCCAGGTAAACACTGTGTAGTCTAGGCTGGTGTGGAACTCACAAAGATTCACTTGTTTCTACCTCCTGATGGCTAAGACTAAAAGTGGCACCACCACACCCAAAACATCACAAAAAATAACAAACATGTTCATTTAGGTCCATGATGAAAGAATTCACACTTAGACCCAATTAAGAGAAAGAAATTCACATTTTTATTTTGTTCTAGGACAGTTTTTACACTCCCCAACCAAATCTCTGATCATTTTATGATTTGACTATAAAATAAAAGATGTAAAATAAACTAAAAAGCAAGATTACTAAACCGAATATTAAAAACACTGAACCCCTGTAAGTATGATGCATGAGAATTAGATATTTTACTAAGAAAACGAGTTAAATCAAGTAAGAAACAGCCCAACTAACCATCTACTGTGTAGTACTTAAGTAAAACATTTTACCTCATCACAGCACACACATCTCCAGTCAAGTTCCTCCGACAAGCAGTGCTTGTTAAATATTCTTGTGGGTTTAGACGATATGTATCAATCATGAAATTTCGATATGCCAAGTATCTAAAAAGGGCAAAATTCATTATGGCAGACTTATATCTTTTCAGACACAATACCCTCCTAAACCAAAATTCTTAAAAGTTTTTCACAACTATATTCAAAAGAAAATTAGGACAGCAATGTAAAAAATAAGACCAATTCTGCACTAAAAATTATCAAGTGAATTCAGACCCAGTAAGATGCAACACAACTGTGTACCAAGGTGTAAAACAAATGAGGCAACTTGGACATCCTAACGCAAACTTGTCTACGCAATTTAAATGAGTGACTCTGGCTACTTGTCACACTGGCATTTCATACATGGTTACTAAGGCTAGAACCTTCATTATTTTTTATTTCTCACTTAATGTACACTAAGCCATGTTCTAAACACCATCTTTGCAGTGGCTCACTTAATACTCAAAATCTCTCTGTAATATGTCTACCAGCCTCCTATTTACACATGACCAAACTGAAATACAGAGGACTTAAGAGCTGTCTTGGACTAAGGACCAGAATTCAACAGAGCTATTGTGTTGGTTCTAAGACCCATCCATGTGCTTAATTTCAGCACATTCTCTAGTCTTCATTGAGCGACACGAGGAACTGGATCTGGTAACAGCATTACACCTTCTCATGACAGTTCTTTCAGGAAGGCAACAAGTAGAACCAACAAGGTCAAACTCAGAAGACAAGAACATACAAAACAGGAGAAAAAAAAAAAAAAAAAAAAAAGAGAGAGAGAGAGAGAGAAACTCAATAGCACAGCAGCTCTATGGTGAACCCAAGCATTTCTGCCACAAATACATTTTAAAAATCAAGAACATGAGCGGAGTGTGGTGGCACACGCCTGTAGTCCCAGCATTCGGGAGGGAGAGGCAGGCAGATCTCTGTGAGTTCAAGGCCAGCCTGGTCTACATAGTGAGTTCCAGGTCAGCTAGGGCTACAGGGAGACCCTGTCTCAAAAAGACCACCCCCTCCCTGCAAAAAAAAAAAAAAAATCAAGAACATTAAGGAGTATGAGACCTATAAACAGTATCTTGCATACAAGTAAAACAAACATCTGGGTGCATGAGGGGGGCTACATTATAGTAAAGGAATAAACTGCTCAAAAAGGTTCCCATGCAAGTACAGACAGAAAAAAATGACAAACATAAATTTACAAACTGTAAAGGCTAAAATGGAAAAGTCTATACTTCTAAAGACAAGACTGTCAAAAGCTTTAAGTATTTATAAATACAGAAAGATTCCATAAAATGGGAAAAACTATCAGGGTTTTTAAAAATCCACCATGGATTCAGATAGCTCTCATACAGCACTGCTACTAAAAAGATAACATCAAAACTTAGAATCTCAAATTACTATAATTAGAATATATCTGATATTAAATTGTCTATGGTACACCATGTATTTCACCTAGAAAATCATGAAAGTCAGGTTTTCCCCTAAACCAGGAAAGATAATCTAATTTGAGCAGTCACATGTATGTAAAATGTGGTATTTACATATAAGAACTTATATAAAATATGTGTAAAATCATAACATATATGGACAAGTTGAGAGATTATGACAAACATCCACTAAACATCATTTACTAAATTAAATACTGAAGTGCATGAGCAGATTACACACATTAAAAGTCTAGGAAGAAAAAAAACTGCAATTTCCTTTGGAGGCAGAGGCAGACGAATCTCTGTGAGATCAGGATAGCTGGGGTTACAGCGAGACCCTGTCTAAAAAGACTTCCCCCGCCTGCAAAATAAAACAAACAAAAAAACAAAACAGCTATGTCATGAACACAAAAGTAAGTTCTTTAAATCACTTGGCTCACATTTCGGGAGTCTTGGATTTATTTTTTCCATTAAAAAACTCAGGAAGGGCACGACGTTCAATCACATGAATACTGAAAGAAAAAAAGAGAGACGATTGAGATTATTTTTTGAAAAATCTTAAAATTTGAGCTTACTGTTCAATTTTCAAAAGAAAATCAATAAATCCAAAACCTGAGTACTGCTTCATAAATTAAAAAGGACAACTTCCTCTATACTAATAGTTGCTTTCCATTTCTTACCCAAAACAAATACTGTAGTTTTTAAAATATTTTATGTGTATGAGTGTATTGCCTTTATGTATGTGAGTGCACCCCTGTTGTGCAATGCCACGGAGATCAGAGGAGGGCTTCGGATTCCCTGGGACTGGAGTTCATGTGGGGGCTGGGAATTGAACCTGGTTCCTCTGGAAGAGCAGTCAGTGTGCTCTTAACTGCTGAGCCATCTCTCCAGCCCCCATACTTTAATTTTTATTTTTTCCTTTTTTTTTTTGGTCTTTTTGAGACAGGGTCTCTCTGTAGCCCCAGCTATCCTGGAACTCACTATGTAGACCAGGCTGCCCTTGCCCTCACAGAAATCCGCCTGCCTCTGCCTCCCAAGTGCTGGGATTAAAGGACTGAAAATGTGTTTACTTAGCCAGGTGTGGTAGTGCAAACCTTTAATCCAGCATGTGGAAGGCAGAGGCGGCGGATCTCTTGTGAGTTCAAGGCCAGCCTGCTCTACAGAATGAGTTCCAGGCCAGCTGGGGCTACAGCGAGACCCTGTCTCAATAACACAAAATTTACTATTTAAAAAAAAAAAGTTTTTATTTATTTGTATTTGATGTGCCTGAGTGTAACCCATGCATGCAATGCCCACTGAAACCACAAGAAGGCATTAGATCCTCTAGAACTATAGTTATGGATGTGGGTATGGGAACTGAACCCAGGTCTTCTACAACAGCCATCAGTGCCCTTAACCATCTCTCCTGTCCGATACTGAGTTTTCTATTCTAATAACCAACTGAAGAACTTCTACTGGCTTACACCTGGGAGACAGAGGCAGGAAGACTATAATTTGATGACAGTCTGGGGATATCGAGCAAGACCCATTACAAGTTTGGAAGATCTCACCAAAACACATTTCTCTGCTGATCTACAATGAAGCACCCAAGAATTTCCATAGGAAGAACATTTTTTATCAAAAACTACTAAGTGTTGGCAGAGTGACTGTTTAGGTTATGACAAAGCACCACACCAATAAGCTGAAAGTATGACAGGAACAAGATAGGCAGGATCACTGTTCCTCTATCAAATCTCCATTTCAGAATCCCTCATCTGAAGCAGTATCACTCAATCCCATCTGTAAAACAGAGCAGTAACTAATAGCTCTACTACATTTCTAAGTACACATATTACATTGTAAGTAACATATGAAGTTACCTCAAGTTAGTATTTATTTGAAGCTCTGATATATTTATTTTAAAATAACCAAAAAAACGAAGTCAGAATGATACCATACAGGTAACCAATAAATAATACATCTGCAGCCTGGCACAGTGGCACACACCTTTAATCCCAGGATGCAGATGCAGGAGGATCTCTGTGAGTTCAAGGCCAGCCTGAACTACAGCATTGAGGCCACCTAGGCCTTCAGGGAGACCCTGTCTCAAAAAAATACCACCCCCACAAAATACATCTGCAATACTAGCTGTTTACATCCATGCTCAAAAACAGGCGTGGTGCGTGTAATAACAAAAATGTGGAAGAGATGTGTTTCCATCAACTTTTTCACACCTCAAAGTCAAAATGCTTCTGTTTAAAATAAAGGTATTATTACCCTCTTGGCACAGTGGTCACTATATCAGTATCATAAATGAAAACTGTTTTGGGGTACAAAGTATGATATTTGGTTTAAATATTATTTTTAGAAGTCATTTTTAAAAATATTTATTTTTATTTTATGAGTAGTGTATATTGCCTACGTGTATGGAAGTGCACATATCATGCAATGCCTATGGAAATCAGAAGAGGGTGTCAGATCCCCTAGAACTGGGTTATGAGATGGTTGTTAGCTGCCATGTGTGTGACGTGATTTGAACGCGGGTCTTCTGCAAGAACATTCAATGTTCTTAACCACTGAGCCATCTCTCCAGCCCCTGGGTTAAATATTTTAAAATGATATAATACCTGGGCTTGGTGGCACTCAACTTTGGTAATACCAGCACCCAGGAGGTAGAGACAGGCAGATCTGTGTTGAGCAAGGCCAGTCTGGTTTACATTTTGAGTTCCAGACCAGCAAGGCCTATATATTCTGAGATGCTGTCTCAAAATAAAATAAAATAAAAATCATATGATAAAGATGTTTAATGATGATCAAAAACCCAAGCATTCAACACCAGTTCAAAGTAAATCATTTCAATTTAAAATTTTTAGAACTCTACAGAAAACAACTTTCATCCCTAAATTAATTTTAAGAGTAGAGAATAGCCAGAAGGATGGAAAAATTAAGGTCACTCTGAGTTGCATAACAAAGCATACATGAAAACAAACAAAAAAGAAAAAGTTGTTCAGAGAAAAAAATATCTCCTTCATTCAGTGCGAATTGCACAAAATAACTGTGCGACCGTACGAACTGCACAAAATAACACAACCTGATTGATTTGAAGACAAGTGTTCCCACCCCTCAGTCCAATGCTTGCTTAAGTAAAAGCCCCACTCACCAGTTATAATCAAACCAAGATGCATAGCTGGGAATAATAATATGATTGGTCTGTTCTGTCACATTATCTTCACCGGGGTCAACTGATCGACTCTGATCACCTTTGCTAGGATCATCATCTTCCTATAAAAAAGAAACTAGATTCAGAGAGAGAACAACAGAGACAAACCACAAACATGCAATTAAGGTCAAATAAAATTCAGATAGCTAATCCAATTTCAAGAACTAGGGAAACAATTCCTTTTTTTTTTTTTTGGTCTCTTTGAGACAAAGTCTCCCTGTGGCTACACCCAAAGAAACAATTCTTAAGCAAAAACATTTCATAGTTTTAAGGCACAAATGGTCAACTGACAAAGGAATATATTCCTTCATTATATAGATAACAAAGCAAACTCAAAGAAAGTAAGCATACAAGCCAGGCGTGGTGGTACAAGCCTTTAAACTCCAGCAGTGGTCTACAGAGTTCCAGGCCAGCTAAAGCTATAGGGAGACTCTTTCAAAAAGACCAAAAAAAACAAACAAACAAACAAAAAAAGTAAGTATGCAAAGCAAAATTAATTAGCAAGTCAGTGGCATAGACACTCAATTGTCAAGAAACTAGACCAAACATCTTAGAGACTATTTAATACTCTTGTTATCCATGATTGCCATAAACATACTCATCAAAAATACTATATGAAAATGCTGGAGGTGGTACTGCACACCTTTACTCCCCAGTGCTTGGGAGGTAGAGGGAGGCAGATATAAGACTCTGAGTCAAGTCTGGTCTCAAAGCCACTTGAACACCTGCCAGGGATATAGAGAGAGACTTCTATCTTTGAAAAGAAGACAACTACAGAGGCTAGAGAGATGGCTCAGGAGTTAAGAGCACTGGCTACATTTGAAGAAGACCTGGGTTTAATTAGCTACAAGAATTCACATGAAGGCTAATCATTCCTATCATCTAATTCCAGGGAACATAATCCTCTCTTCCGGCCTCCCCAAGCATTGCATGCACGAGGTACACTATTGTGGAGTAGAATATTAGAGGAACCATCTCTGACTATTTTGTAATTATGTAAGCTGGATGTGATATTGCATGGCCTTAATCTCAACACTCAAGAGACAGAAGGAGGGGGGACCTAGAGAAATGGCAGAAAGGTTAAGAGCAGACAGCACTCTTTCAGAGGAGCTAATTTCAATCCCAGGTCCCATGTTGGCCTTCTGGTAACAGTCTATAACTCCAGCACTGCATTCATGTGAATCACTCCCCCCACAAAAAAAGTTTTTAAAAATATTTTAAAGAGTTGGGTGTGGTGGCACTCACCTTTAATCCCAGCACTTGGGAGGCAGAGTCAGGAGTAGGGGAGGATCTCAGTTCGAGGAACCTGGCATACACAGAGTTCCAGGCTAGGGGCTACAGGGAGAACCTGCCTCAAAAAGACCAAAAAAAAATTCAAAAAAAAAAAATTGACAAACTCTGGCGAAACTGGTCAGGGTGCACATGTACATATACGTGTGTACACGTGCTTGTTTGTGTACATGAATGTACATACACACAGTAAATAAAATGGACTGACTCTTTTACACCTTGAGAAAGAGTTGTGAGTATAGAAGAGTTGATGTGAAAGAAAATATTAATGTATTTGATTAGATTAAATTGAAGAGCTGATTATGCCTTGTAAATGGATTTTAAAAATCCTGTATATGCATATAAACAAACAAAAAAACTACAAGCTTTTTACTTTATATTTTGGTCTTCATTTACTCTGTATAAAGACATCTTTTACAAATACAATGATCATTAGTAAGTAGACTTTTTTTTTTTGTCTTTTTTAGACAGGGTCTCCCAGTAGCCCCAGCTGTCCTTGAACTCACTATGTAGACCAGGCTGGCCTTGAACTCACAAAGATCCACCTGCCTCTGCCTCCCAAGTGCCGGGATTAAAGGCGTGCGCCACCATGCCTGGCAGTAAGTAAATATAAATAGTGATTTAATGGAAAAAAAAAAAAAAAAAAAACTTAAAGAGTAAAGGTGAAAAACGAGTCTGTTAAAATACTTTTACTAGCAATTCTGTCACAATTATTTATCCTATAAATATAAAGCAATATTAAATGTTACTCTGAAACTTTTTTTTTTGAGACAGGGTCTCCCTGTAGCCAAGCTGGCCTGGTACTCACTATGTAGACCAGGTTGGCCTTAAACTCACAGAGATCCACCTGCCTCTGCCTCCCAAGTGCTGGGATTAAAGGCCTGCAACACCATGGCCAGAACTTGAAGCATTTCTATCAAAACTATGTTTAGCAAGGGACAGGGGCGGCAGGGTTCACAACACACAGAATCAGGGGGAACTCTTAAACGCTCAAGGCCGACATGGTATGCACAGTGATTTCAAGGTCAGTTGGGGCTACTTGGAGACACAGAACAAAACTGAATGTAAAACACTATAATACAGTAAATATAAAAAATAAATAAATAGAAATAAAAAAATGGAAATGTAACTATCACCAAGCATGATGGTGCATGCCTGTAATCACAGCCCTGGGTGTAGTCAATTCCCATTAATGCATAAACCAAGAATAGTAGTACATGTCTGTAAGATCAGTAGTCAGGAGGCAGAGGCAGGATTAAAAGTTCAAGGTCATCCTTGGATAAATGGTCAATTCAAGGTCATACTGGACACTTAAAATGCCATGCTTCTGGCTCAGTGTACATGATTAAAGTAGAAATTTCGCACATTTTTCAAGTCTATAATATTTTTTACCTTTCCTCCTGTGGTGACTGTTTCTTCATCCTGCTCATCTGCAAAAATGAAAACAAGTTATTTTTTTTTACTATAAAAAAAATATTTTATTATTTTTATTTTATGTGTATGAGTGTATTCCCTGCATGTATGTGAGTTCACCCATGTTGTGCAATGCTGAGGTCAGAAGAGGGCATCAGATTCCCCTGGAACTGGTGTTAAGGATGATTCATAGCCGTCACGTGAGTGCTGGGAATCGAACCCAGGTCCTCTGCAAGAGCAGTCAGTGCTCTTAACCGCTGAGCCATCTCTCCAGCACCCCAAATTATTATTTTAATAATAGGATAATGCTATTTTAATTATGTGGAATCTTGACAGTCTACAAAACTGATACTAGACAGAGAAAATGAATGAAAAAGATCATTATTAAAGCAAACTCACACTGACTAAATCATCATTTTACACAGTCGGACAGAGATGGTAAAAAAATCAAAGCATAGTTCATGCCAATTTTCCAACAACTAGGAAGTTTGTAATAACTGTGACTTATCATAACAGCAAACACTAGTCACGTTGTAAAGTAACAGCTAAGAGATTTGACAAAGCACATGTCTCCTGAGGATTGGTAAAGCAAATGATAATTTGGACTCCAAAGAAAAGGAACAGTAAATTAATGCCTTAACCAGGCAAGATGGCATAGGTCTCTAATACCAGTACTTGGAAAGAAGGAGGAAAATTCCAAGTTTCAGGCCAATCTGGGCTGCATAGTAAGCATTCAGTTTAAAAAAGACAAAGAAGAGAACTGACTTCCACAAGCACTTCCCATGTGATAGATGAATATCCTACCCATCTTCCTTTCTTTTTAAAAAAAAATATTTTATTGGGGTTCGGGATTTAGCTCAGTGGTAGAGCGCTTGCCTAGCAAGCGCAAGGCCCTGGGTTCCGTCCTCAGCTCCGGGAGGAAAAAATTTTTTTTTAATTATTTTTATTTTCTGTGTATATGTGTATTGTTTGCATGCAGGTAAGTGCACCCGTGTCGTGCAATGCCCGCGGAGGAAAGAAGAGACTGTCAGATGCCCTGGAACTGGAGTTATGGACAGTTGTTAGTTGCCATGTGGGTGCTGGGATTGGAACATGCATCTTCTGCAACAACAGTCAGTGCCCATTTCCCTTTCTTAAGGCTGTCTCTTGAACAAGAGGTCTAGAGTTGAAGATCTCTCTGCCTTACTATAAATAGTTTCAATATAGAACTGGCACATCCTACAGATCCACAGTATTCTTGAGTGTATCAGCTTAGAAATAATATGACAATGCATTTACAATGAGTAGAGTGTCAACTGAGGAATAAATCAATCTTAAACTGGATCCTAAAGATCCTAAAGAAAGCTTTCAAGAAACTCGATGCTGACAGGGCGTGGTGGTACATGCCTTCAATCCCAGCACCCAGGAGGCAGAGGCAGGTGGATCTCCGTGATTTCAAGGCCAGCCTGGTCTACAGAGTGAGTTCCAGGCCAGCTGGGGCTACAGGGAGACCCTGTCTCAACAAGAGCAAAAGAAAAGAAACTTGATGCTAGGGACTAGAGAATTGGCTCAGCAGTTAAAAGCCCTGGCTATTCTTCCAGAGGACCTAGGTTCAATTCCCAACATCCACATAACATTTCTAACTCAAGTTCCAGAAGATCAATACCATGTTTTGGCCTCTTGAGGGTATTGCATACACAGGTATACTTACATATATGCAGGCAAACCACACACATAAAAATAAACTTTAAAAATTTAAAGGGCTGGGGCTGGAGAGATGGCTCAGCAGTTAAGAGTACTCACTACTCTTGCAGAGGATCCAGGTTCAATTCCCAGAACCCACATGTCCTTAACTCCAGTTCCAGGGGAATCTGAAGGCCTCTTCTGACAACCGTGGCATTGCACAACACGGGTGTACTCACATACATGCAGGAAATACACTCATACACATAAAATAAAAAAATTTTTTTTTAATTTTAAGAGCTGAAGAGATGATTCAGCAGTTAAAAGCACTGAATGCTCTTCCAGAAGACCTGGGTTCAGTTCCCAGCAGCCAATTCCAGGGGATCCAACTCTTCTGATCTCCGCAAGCATTGCATGACATGAGTGCACTTACACACATACAGACAATACATTCACCCACATAAAATAAAATAAATACAATTATAATTATGAGCTGATACCACAACTGGATTGTGCATCAATCCTTTCAGATGATCAATCTTGAAAATAAATCTTTACTTCCTTAAGGAAGTAAAGTGCGCCACCAAACCCAGCTTATTTGACCATTATTATCAATTATGTTACAATACTATTCTCAATAATTACTTTACTTAAACAGATAATTCAGTGCAAAAGCATCTTTGTTTATTATCTCCTTTGCTATCTATCACCAAGAGTATTCTGTTTAAACTTCCGACAATAAAATGATCAGTAAGGCCGGGCATGGTGGCACACACCTTTAATTTCCAGCACTTGGGAGGCAGAGGCAGAAAGATCTTTGTGAGTTTGAGGCCTTCCTGGTCTACATAATGAGTTCCAGGACAGGTGGGACTACAGGGAGACCCTGTCTGGAAAAAAAAAAAAAAAAAGAAATCATTCACCAATATGCATTGTTAAGCCATAAACCAAGAAATATCAAATTAATTCAATAAAATGAAATTAAAAGTTGGGTATGGTGGTGCACGCTTACAGTTCTAGCACTTTGGTGAAGCAGAGGCAAGTGTATCTCTGAGCAAGTTGCAGGTCAGCCAAAGCTGCACAGTGAGACTATCTTTGCCACATAAGTGAGAAAATGGGAGTTTCAAATACTAGGGATCCTGCTAATATTAAAAATATTGAAAGGATAGTCAACCACAAAAGGTTGTCCTCTGCTTTGCACATGAGCTCTATGGCATCCATACCAGCACTCATAATAAAATAAAAATGGATGGCACCATTCTCATTTATACTTGTTAGGAACTTTTTTATAAAAGATTTGGTCTTACTCTTTATCCCCAGCTGGCCTATAACTTTGTAGTCCAAGTTTGCCTCAAGTATCCCACCAAAGCTTCTTGAACCTCTAATGATGCAAAAAAAAAATTAGTACAAACATTATAAAGTATGTATTACAGAACACTGGAAAAATAATTTTAGAATTATTTCTTTAAAATTGAGACAACTACATTCAAATGAAAACATTTTCTAGTTTGTGGGAAAACACTATGCACTGAGAGATGCAGGTCACTAGGACTGTACAACATGGATCATAGGAGGAAACCAAATTATGACAGTACCCGAGGTTGTATCTGACAGGGAAACCATGGCAACTGAAAGCACTTACAGTAAAGAAAGCAGTTTTTAAAGAAAGCAGTATTTGAGGAGGTGATATATTCAAGAAAGAAAACATAAAATTGTGTATGATGTAATCTTTACCTAGATCTGCTACCGTTCCTCCTTTAACAGGTGTATTTTCACTATCTTTCTTTGGGTTTACTAGAAGGAAAAAAAAAATCATGTGAAACTAACTCCTGGTTTTTAAAAACAATGATCAAAATACACATGCACATCACTACAAACCCAACATAACTCACTACTCAGCATCATTTAAACACAAGTCCAGCTGCAAAACATTCAACTATCCACTGCATTTTATAATTAATTTCCCAATAGCAGTATTTTCCAATTTTACAAATAATACAGAAATATTTACACAAACATTTTTCTGTCATTTCTCATTTTGAAGGTAAGGTATAGCCCCAGCTGTCCTGAAACTTGCTATATAGATCAGGGTGGCCTTGATTTCAGCGATTTGCCTGCTTCTGCCTACTGAGTGCTGAGATTAAAGGCCTACGCCACCATGCCTGACTATTTACTTTTGAGAGAAGGTGTTGCTTTTTAGCCCAGGCTGGCCTGGATCTCAGCATGGAGCTCAGGCTTACATCAAATTCATAACCTTCCTGTCTGACTCACTTAAGTGGTGGAAATATAGGTGGGCAGTACTATACACAGGATAGTACACTAAATTTATATACCTATTTTGATCAGTGTGTTTTCTCAATAAACAAATTGAAAAAGTACAGTAAGGTCCATGTGTTATATGGTAAAGGGAATTTTTAAAAATTTAAAAGGGGAAATTTATTCATATTTGGAAGTTAAGAACTGTGGACTCAGAATACGAAATTATTCATCCTATGATGAAATTTTATCTAGTACTCATTTTGATGCAAAAAAATACAAACCATTTTTGGGTAGTACCACTTCCTCTATGTTTGGTACAGGTGTTGGGTCTTCCATGTCCTTGGTAAGATCTTCTTGCTCATCTTCTTCTTTCTGATTTCTGCGCTTCCCGTACAGGCCAGCTTGTCTGATACACACAAGGGAGAGAAAATATAAAATGACCATTTACAGGTACTTAAAGGAAATGGTTTCTGGGGTTTTATCTAAATAATTCTTTATAAATTATGTTCAGAACTGGGTGTTGTGGCACACACCTTTAATCCTAGCACATGGGAGGCAGAGGCAGGGGGTCTCTGTGAGTTCCAGGCCAGCTTGAAGCTGGGGCTACAAGGAGAGCCTGTCTCAAAATAAAAAAAATAAATAAAATAAAAATTATGTTCAGAATCACTTACTTAAACAATGAGTAATCAAAAAGAAAAATTAGATACCAGACTCAAATTACATCACATAGCCCCAAATTATGCTATTATATATAAGAAATGGTAGCAGCTCTCCTGTTATTCAAAATTCAGACATTATCTTAAAAGGAGTTTATTGCGAGTATAATAAAACAACATCTGGAAATAATGCATATTCTCTTTCAGACTATAAACAACCACATGAGAATTTTTCCAGACATGGATAGCTATGTTTTCCTGAATACTGGTATCATTCAAGTATAAAAAAACTACACAAGAGTATCACTTAGTACAGTAACCATTCTTTTTATAAAAACTGCCACAGCTCTTTCTCTGAATAGCTCAATCAAGTCATTATTTTAAAACTAACACAAGCTAGAGAGGTTAAAAAGAAGTAAGAATTATTTCCTTATCTTGAGGAATTATACAGCCATAGGATAGAAATAATTACTTCCTTCATATAACAAGATACAAATACAAAAGAAGTATTAAAGCAGGATGTTTGGCACATGCCTGTAACCTTAGTACTTATGAGGCTGAGGCAGTAAGACTGGAAGTTTCAGGTTGGCTTAATCAACATAACAAGAGGCAAGACTCAGGTTTCAAACAATCAAAACAACAACAAAGATAATTATTTCAGTACAAAGACATGTTTCTGTATACAGAAATTACCAAAAATACCAAGAATATATGTGACAGAAATAGAGAGTGACAGTGACAAGGTGAACCTTGAGAATGTGTAAGAATCTGGCAATATTTCAGGATTAAGAGTTAAAAGCTGAAGGTATAAGCAAAAATTTTTAAAAGACAGTAACTTGTGTGGGGAGTTAAGGGACAGTAATCTAGACTACAATACCAAGTCAGCGTGAGGAACAGAGCTGATTACACAGGGCCCAACCCAGAGATCACACTGCAAAAAGAATGCTCAAATTGTCTTTGAAAGGTGGTATACTGGTATAGGTAAGAAGGAAGTATTTACGGTCCAATTATTTTCAAACTAAAAATTACATGATGAAAAACCCAAAATTGTGACACGTCTCTAAGTTCCCACACTTGAGTGGCTAAGGTAGAAGGATAACTATGAGTTCGAGAGGAGTCTGAATCCCATGCCATTTTGGGCTATACAAAATAAAATGAAACCCAGCACGGGGGAACATGATTGTAACCCCAATACTTTAGAGGAACAGGCAAAAGGATTAGGAGTTCACTGACAGCCTTGACTACACATAGTAAACTTGAGGCTAGCCTGGGTTACATGGGACTGCCTCAAGCTAAATGAGGAAATGAGTAATTTTTTACAAACATATACTCTAGATATTTAGAAGGTATTTTTAAAAGGTGCAGAGAAAATGAATAAAACAGATTACAAAAACATTTCAACATATTCAATTTAGTAACAATTTCAAGAATAACACTTTTCCAACTCAGTATTGAAACCGATCACAGGACCTTAAACATGTTAAATCCATTGTCTTAGTTTGCTTTCAAACTGCTCTAAGAATATACTGACCAGCCAGGCACGGCGGTGCACACCTTCAATCCCAGCACTTGGGAAGCAGAGGCCAGTCAAATCTACATAGTGAGTTCTAGGATAGCTATGGATACAGGGAAATTCTGCCTTTAAAAAACGATGACAAAAAAATGACGGGCTGGAGAGATGGCTCAGCGATTAAGAACACTGAATGTTCTTGCAGAATACCCGGATTCGAATCCCAGCACCTACATGGCAGCTAACAACTATCCGTAACTCCAGTTCCAGGGGATCCGACAGCCTCTTCTGTCCTCCTCGGACATTGCACAACATGGGTGCACTTACCTACATGCGGGCAATACATGAATACACAAAAAAAATAAAAAAATAAAAATATTTTTTAAAACAAGAAAAAAAGCCAGGTGTGATGGTGCACACCTTTAATCCCAGCACTTGGGAGGTAGAGGTGGGCAGATCTCTGTGCGTTCAAGGCCAGCCTGGTCTACATAGTGAGTTCCAGGACAGCTGGGGCTACAGGGAAACCGTCTCAAAAAAAGACCAAAAAAAAAAAAGACACAAACCAAAACATATTTGGGAAGGAAAAGGTTTATTTCAGGTTACAACTCCCAGATCACAAATCTATCATTGAGGGAACCTACAGCAGGTACTACAGCAGAAACCACAGAAGAGCACAGCTTACTGGCTTAGTTCCCATGCCGTGCTGTTACCTTTCTTATATAGCCAAGCTCATGTGCCCATCCACAGTGGGCTGGGTCCTGCTGAATCAATTATCGATTAAAAAAATGCCATAGACATGTTCAAGACCAATCTGATGAAGGAAATGCCTTACCTGAGGTACCCTCTTCCATGTGACTAGTTTGTGTCAAGTTGACAAAAACTAATTGGTACATTGATGATCTACCACTTAGCTATACTTCCAGAGCACAAGGAAAAATGTGTGTTGTTTTTTGAGAAAAAGTCTCACTGTGTAGCACAGACGACATAGGTCAGCCCTCCCCCCACCCCTTAAAGGCAGTCCTCTTGCCTTTGTCTCTTGGGTGCAGGTCTACAAGTGTACATCACTACACCTGACAAATATATTCAATTAAAATGAAAGCACGTGGCTGTAGAACTGGCTAGTCATTAAAAGTCTCAGGCTCACAACTAAAATACAAGCACATGTAGGGAACTTAACAGCCAGGCTTTTATTATCAGGGTAGAAGATAATATTATGAGCTGCCTAGCCATGTCATCTTGTCTCAATACTGTGTTTTATGTCCTATTTTAGCTAACCAGTTGGAATAGCAGCACATTGTATTTCAAGGCCTGAACACAGGAAAAGTGGACAGAGACGCCTCACAAAAATCTTAAATTTCTCTAAAATATTGGACAATCAAGAGCAAGTCAAAAACAGAAACTGAAGAAATAAGATTACTTCCATTAATACCGTGAAGAAAAATCTTTTTATTACAGTTTTTAAAAAAATTTTTAAATATTTTACTTATTTATTTAATTTTATGTGTATATGTGTATTGCCTGCATGTAGATAAGTGCACCCGTGTCGTGCAATGCCTGCGTAAGACAGAAGAGGCTGTTGGATCCCCTGGACCTGGAGTTACAGACAGCTGTTAGCAGCCATGTGGGTACTGGGATTCAAACCCAGGTCTTCTGCAAGAACAGTGTTCTTAACTGCTGAGCCATCTCTCTAGCCCCTACAGTTTAAAATTTTATAATACTTGTTGCTTAACAAAATAAGAAATCTACTATGACTGGATCATTAGAATCATTAGTTAGCATCATTAATATCATATAAGAGTAAAAGCTTAAACATCCCTGAAGGCATCTGTAAATGAACTACACAATGCAGGGCCTAACATGACTGAAAAGATGTTCTAAGGACAGGAACAGTAATTCTGCCATAGACAAAATTCTAAGTATGTGAGCTTACAGAAGATGTCAAGTTTATCTTGATAGCCTAGTTGACAAATTAAAAATCTATTTCTCCTGGGGCTGGAGAGATTGCTTAGTGGTTAAGCTAAACTCTCTTAAGCTGCTTTTCCAAAAGACCCAGGTTCAGATCCCAGCACCTACATGGCGGCTAACAACTGGTCATTTACTCCAGATCCAGGGTATCTGACGCCTTCTCTGGCCTTCACAGGCATTGCATAGCACGGGTTCACTTACATGCAGGCAAAACACACATATAAAATAAAAATAAATTTTTAAAGATTTTAATAAAAAATAAAATTTTCACCAGGCGTGGTGGCGCACGCCTTTAATCCCAGCACTTGGGAGGCAGAGGCAGGCAGATCTCTGTGTGTTTAAGGCCAGCCTGGTCTACATAGTGAGTTCCAGGACAGCTGGGGCTACAGGGAGACCCTGCCTCAAAAATAAATAAATAAACAAATGAATAAATAAATTTCTCCTTCTATATATATATATGTGAAAATAATTTTAAAAGCCATCATTTCTCACTAAAACAAAACCATTATCTCTGAAAAATTACAATAAAAATATATCAAGCTGAGCAAGCCTAAAATTGTCAAGAATCATTTATAACAAAAAATTACTAAATATTATCTATACTTTAAATATACTTCAAGCATTGTACAGGACATTCAAGCTTTACTTAATACTTTCAACAATGTAGTCAACAGAAACCATAAACATCATCCAAACAAGACTAAATACATTGTTTTGGAAAAAGCCCATAGTGTTATATTTGGCAAAACATCAATTACAGGTTCTAATTCTTCTATGTGTTGATTTGGTCACAAATGGAACAGGTGGTCAAATAAGAGAAAGAGACATTAACTATGGAGAATATATTTTCTTTTCTTTGTTGTTACTATTGGATAGTCTTTTTTTTTTTTCCTACTTTTTAAAAAATTTTATTTTTATTTTATGTGTGTGCGTGTATTGCCTGCATGTAGGTAAGTGCGCCCATGAAGTGCAATGCCCTCGGAGGTGAGAAGAGACTGTCAGATCCCCTGGGACTGGAGTTAAGGACAGCTGTTAGTAGTAGGTGCAGGGATTTGAAGCCGGGTCTTCTCCAAGAACAAGCAGTGTTCTTAACCGTTGAGCCATCTCTCCAGCCCCTTATTTTTTAAATTTTATTTATTTTTTATTTTATGTGTATACGTGTATTGCCTGCATGCAGTTAAGTGCACCCGTGTCGTGCAATTCCCGAGGAGGTCAGACGAGATTGTCGGATTCCCTGGAACTGGAGTTACCAACAGTTGTTAGCTGCCATATAGGCGCTGGAATTCAAACCTGGGTCTTCTGCAAGAACGGTCAGTGCTGACCCATCTCTCCAGCCCCTACAGTAGTCTTTTGAGACAGGGTCTCACTATGTAGCACTGGCTGTCTTAGAACATGCTATGTAAACCAAGCTAGTCTCAAACTTGCAGCAATGTACCAGGATTACATGGTTATAACACCACGTGTGGCTCAGAATGATTTCAGCCATATTTCTCTGTATGTATTTAGAGGGATAAAGATTATACTCAACATGTACAAATATAAGATTCCTATAAGATCAAACAAGCTATCATGCTGGCAAGATGGCTTATGGGATACAGGTGTCTACTGCCAAATCTTACAACCTGAGTTTTATCCCTGGGACCCAAATAGTACAAAGAGGGAACCAAGTATTCTGACTTCCACAAGCACACCATGGCACATGCATACTCACACATACACACAAGTACATGCAAACATAAAGTACATAAAAAATTTTGAATGTAAAAAAAAATATGAAAAAAAGAAGCTATCGAAGCAAAAGACTGTTCAAAGTATGACTTATTTTCAGCAAAATATCCAACATGAATATCAAATCTGGAAAGTCATTCAAGTTTCTTTTACTGATTTCTGATCAGTCTTACCCTTTCTTCCCACTCTTCTTCCGTGATTCTGTGGGTGTGGGAGGGGGAGGAGAAGGGGAGTGCTTCCTCTTTCGAGCATTGGCTGATGCTTTTCTATCTCTCCTTTCTGGACTTCTGACTGGCTAGGGAAAAGGAAATTGAAATAAATATCAATCAACTATGTTAATTCCTAAATTTCTATAAATCTATGTCCAAAGGTGATTTTCCATACATGAAGACAGTACCAAACCTAGTAAGTAGTTCAAGACAAACTAAAACACAACATCAAACACACAAAACTATCAGCAATGAAGAAACTTTCCTGACATTCTGGGTGATATATCATAAATGATACTCTAAAGCACAATCCTACAGGTACTCAAACTACACTACTGTTGACATGGCCACAGCTCACAAAACTTAAAACTATTACTGCTCACATTTTGTGCTCTCAGGTGGGAAACGCCTTTTCATTAACTATTAGTAACAATGAAACATGCTATTAAACTAGGAAATTGAATGACCAAATGATCCTATCAAAGGTGATATTCAGATGGACATAGTGAAGCATGCCTTTATTCTCAGCAGTCTGCAGGCAGATGCAGAAGACTATCTCTGAGGTCAAGGCTAGTCAGGTCTACAAAGTGAGTTCCAGGCCAACCAAGATTACAGAGTAAGAGCCTATCTCAAAAAACACTGCACAAACAATCCGAAATGGATCAAAGATCTCAATGGGAAGCTTGAAATTCTGAAACTGTTAAAAGAAAACATAGGATGTACCCTATAAATAATAGGTGCAGGAAAGATCTTTGGTCTTTTTGAGACAGAGTCTCCCTGTAGCCCCAGCTGGCCTGAACTCCAGAAAAAGACCAGGCTGGCTTTGAATTCAAGAGATCCACCTGCCTCTGCCACCCAAATGCTAGGAAGGCGTGAACCACCACACCTGGCCCAGAAGGAAAGAACTTTCTAAAAGAGCTATCACTGGCTCAGGAATTAAGGTCATAATCAACAAGTCTGACCTCAGACCTCATTAAACTAAAAGGCTTCTGCATAGCAAAGAAATCAAAGAAGTGAAGAGCAAATCCACAGAGTGGGAGAAAATCTTCACCACCTATAGATCTGACAAGACTAATATCCAGAATATACAAAGAACTAAAAAAAACCAAAGAATCAAGAAAACAAATGACCCAATTAAAAGAGGCTATGGATCTACACCAAGAGATCTCAAAAAGAAGAAATACAAGTGGGTAAGAAACACCAAATTCCACTGCTGTTGCTGAACTATGACACTGTCTATGAAGGTGCAGATCATTTGAGCTTTTCTGGTATCAGGTATGCTTTCATCAAATTTCTCTCCCAGGGTATAAGGAAATTGTTGCTTTCAAAGTGCTTAACTTTTTGTGGTAATATTGCCATCACAAGAATAAATGCAATCTGTTTGGCCACGGAACCCATCTTCTACACAGTAAGTCCCACATCTAGCTATTCCTTGTGCATGTGAGGTTTCTAACAATGGACATGGAGGGCAGGATCAGGAGCACAGGCTGAATGGGCCAACAAAGTGACGAGGGTGTGCTGTGCCTTAAAAGTTTTTTTTTTTTTTTTTTTTTTTGTCTTTTGAGACAGGGTGTCCCTGTACCCCCAACTGGCCTAAAACTCACTATGTAGACGAGACTGGCAAGAACTCACAAAGATCCACCTGCCTCTGCCTCCCAAGTGCTGGGGATCAAAGGTGTGTGCTACCACGCCCAGCATCAAAATGGTTTTCTTAAAAACAAAGACTAGGGTAAACCAGTTATCACCCAAGCTTGGGGAAGGAAGTGACTAGGTTGGTCTCCGAGGGGAAAGCTCAAGCCACGTGGACTCCACACCGTCAGCATGAGCAAAGGAGACCCCAACAAGCTGCAAGGCAAGATGTCCTTCTACGCCTTCTTCGTGAAGACCTGCCGCAAGGTGCACAAGAAGAAGCACCCTGACTCCTTGATCAACTTTGCCGAGTTCTCCAAGAAGTGTTCGGAAAGATGGAAGACCATGTCTGCCAAGGAGAAGTCAAAGTTTGAAGACATGGCCAAAAGTGCCAAAGCTCGTTATGACAGGGAGATGAAGAATTACGTTCCGCCCAAAGGGGTTAAGGGAAGAAAAAAGACCCCAATGCACCTAAAAGACCACTGTCTTCCTTCTTCCTGTTTTGCTCTGAGCATCACCCAAAGATCAAAAGTGAGCACCCTGGCCTGTCTATCAGAGACATTGCCAAAAGTTGGGTGAGATGTGGTCTGAACAGTCAGCCAAAGATAAACAGCCGTATGAGCAGAAAGCCGCCAAGCTGAAGGAGACATACAAGGATATTGCTGCCTACCATGCCAGGGGCAAAAGTGAAGCAGGAAAGAAGGGCCCTTGTAGGCCAACAGGCTCAAAGAAGAAGAATGAACCAGAGGATGAGGAAACGGAGGAGGAGGAGGAGGAAGATGAAGATTGGGAGGAGGAGGAAGATGAAGACGGGGAGGAAGAGGAGGATGAAGAATAAACAGCTGTCCTGTAATATGTGTGAGGTGTGTGTGCTCAGGCAATTGTTTTGCTAAGAATGTGAAATTCTAGTGCAGCTCAACATTAGCATCAGTTTAAAAAAAAATGTACAGATTTTTGTATAGCTGATGAGACTCTTTGGAGAGAAAACACTTTTTAAAAAATACAGGTTGTAGCCAGGCGTGGTGGTGCACATCTTTAGTCCCAGCACTCAGGAGGCAGAGGCAGGCAGATCATTGTGAGTTCAAGGCCAGCCTGGTCTACAAGTTCAGGTCAGCTGAGACCCTGTCTCAAAAAGACCAAAAAAAAAAAAAAACCAGCAGGTTGTAGCCAGGTGTGGTGGCGCAACACCTTTAATCCCAGCACTCAGGAGGCAGAAGCAGGCGAATCTCTGTGAGTTCAAGCCCAGCCTGGTCTAGATAGTGAGTTCCAGGACAACTGGGGCTACAGGGAGAACCTGTATCAGAAAGACGGAAAAAAAAAAAAAAAAAAAAAGTAATAAAATTATGCATACTTCAAAAAAACAAAACAAAACAAAACAAAACAAAGACTAGCAGCAGAGCATGGTAGTGCAAGCCTTTAATCTCAACAATTGGGAAACAGAGGCCAGACTAGTCTATATAGTGAGGTCTAGACCAGTTGGGGCTACCAAAAAAAAAAAAAGAAAGAAAAGAAAACCAAACCAAAACAAGAAAATTCCCAAAACGCAAAAACCAGAAACTAGAAGCCAAGCAAGATGGCAAATGCCTTAAATCCCAGCACGAGAGAAGTAGAGGCATACAGGCCAGCCTGGTCTATGTAGAGTTCCAGGTCAGCTGAGTCTGAAAGATGTTTTTTCTCAAAACAAATTTTTAAAAAAGACTAGGGTACTAGAGAGATGGCTCAGTGTTTAAAGAGTACTGGCTGCTCTTGCACTAGACCCAGAATCTGTTCCCAGAATCTACATGGCTGCTCACAACCATCTGTAACTCCAATCAGGAAGCTTTAATGCTGGGATTAAAGGCAGCATTACCAAATTCAGTATGTACAAAGTATTAACAAAGATGTTTTAGTATTAAGGTCAGGGAAATGAAAACAGGAATACAAGTTCTCTATTTTCTATGTTAATGTTTTAAAACTCACACTCTATACATGTATCTCAAAGAAAACAAAATTAAAAAACAGCAAGCCAGGCATGGTAGAGCACACCGATAATCCTAGCACTTACAAGGCAGAGAAGGAAGATAGCCAACTCAATGGCTATATACTTTGTCCCACAATAAAACAAAACAGAAGGGAACAACAAAAATCAAAGATCTAACTGTATCCAATGACACTGATATCGGATTCACAGGCTATGAAAAACTCAACATGCTGGGCATGGTGGCCTGCACCTTTAGTCTCAGCACTTGGGAGGCAGAGGCAGGCGGATCTCTTTGAGTTCAAGGCCAGCCTGGTCTACATAGTGAGCCTGAAGTCAGCTGGTGCTACAGGGTGAACTTGTGTCAAAAAGACCCCGCCTCCCCCCCAAAAAATCAACAAGCATAACAAGGTTTCTTCTTGCTCTCAAGTCTTATTCAGTTGACACATGACCTCATAAGTTATGTTTTGGTTTGGTTTGATTTTTGAAACAGGATCTTACTATATAGGCTGGCTGGCCTGGAAGTCACTATGCAAATCAAGATGTCCCCAAACTCAGAGATCTGCCTGCTTCTGCCTCCCCTGTGCTGGAATTAAAGGCATGCACCAACATGACCAGTACAAGCAGTGATTTTCAAAGACTAATGGGTAAATACAAACTTAGACTTCATATAATTCATTTAAAAATTTTTATTTATGTGTATGAATGTTTTCCTTGCATGTATATTAAGAGCATTATGTGGTGCAATGACTACAAAGGCCAGAAGAGGGTGTCAGATCCCCTGAAACTGTAGTTTCAGACAGTTGTCAGCCAGGTAGGTACTGGGACCTGAAACCTGAGAACTGAAAACAGGTACTCTGCCAGAACAGACAATGCTCTTAACCAATGAACAATCTCTCTCCAGTCCCATTCATTCAGTTTATTTTAGGTTAGCATACAAAGCAATAGGCTTCATCATGGTATCTTCATACACCAAGAATTTGGCCTTAGTAGTATTAAGGAATTTTAAATGTCAAGTTTTCTACTCTCACCAAAGTACTAAAATTTAACTCTGGAGATACAGAAGATTGCTGTTTTTATTATTGTGTTTGCATTTACAAACTTATTAAAAAATATATTAACCCTGGGGCTGGGGAGATGGCTTAGCAGTTAAGAGCACTTGATGTTCTTGCAGACAGCTAGGATTCACTTCCCAGACACCATATGGAGGGACTTACCACCTCCTATAATGCCAGTTCCAGGGGCTCTGACATGCCTTTCTGGCCCCTGTGAGCACTGCATGAAAGTGGTCCACATACAAAGAAGCTGGCACAAACACATAAAATTTTTTTTTAATTTTTAATTAAAAATATAGGAGCTGGGGCTAGAGTGATGGCTCAGCAGTTAAGAGCAGTCACTGCTCTTGCAGAGGACCCAGGAATTGTTCTCAACACCCACATGGTAGCTAACAACCATCCAAACTCCAGTTTCAGGGGATCCAATGCCTTCTTCTGCTCTTCAGGAGTATTGTACACACTGGTACTTACATATACTCAAGAAACCAATCATACACATAAAATAAAATACATAAATAAAAGTTTTTTAAAAGTCTCATATCTTTAATTCCAGCACTTGGGAGGCAAAGGCAGGCAAGAGTTCCAGGACAGCTGTAGCTACAGGGGAGATCCTATTTCAAAACAACAAAACTAAAAAAAAACAAAAAAGTTAAAAGAAAAAGTATACAAAACAAAGTACACAAGGAAAACTGGTAGCTAAATTGAATTGTTCTATGATATTTAAAATACAAATATAAAAGTTCTTACTTTGTATATTATCTGAAATAATTAATAAAAAAATTGGAACTTATGGGGACTGAAGATGTTAATTCAATGATTAAGTGACGAGGATCCAGGTTTGATTCCCAGCACTCATACATATTATAGTTAACTGACCAAGACTCTAGTTCTAGAGGGATACAATGCCCTCTTCCAGCCTTCAATGAGCACTGATGAACTTACATGCAAGCAAAAACATTCATACACATTAAATAAATATTTTTTTAATACTTTTTATTTATTATTTTTATTTTATGTGTATGGGTGTATTGCCTGAATGTATGTGAGTGTACCCGTGTCGTGCAATGCTGCGGAGGTCAGAATAGGGCTTCAGATTCCCACCCTGGAACTGGAGTTAAGGATGGTTCCTAGCTGCCATGTGGGTACTAGGAATCGAACCCAGGTCCTCTACAAGAACAGTCAGTGCTCTTAACCACTGAGCCATCTCTCCAGGCCTCATAAACAAATATTTTTAAAAACTAAAACTTGGAGCTAATGGACAAAAATAAGTTATAGAATTGCCATACTACCCGCTCTACTTTGAATCTTAATGATTCACTGAGATTTTTGTTCCTCTTTCTGGTGAGATAAAACCAGATGGCTGTTAAAGTCACTTAGTAACTTACAAATGTATATTCTAATTGACAGCTTGGCATGTATATGGAAATATACAGTGAGACAAGAAAAATTTAGGACAAGAAGTAAAGAGCAACTCGCGATTAAGAAATGGTACCAAAGGAAATACCTCTTCATTCTTTGTTGAAATTCTCTGACGAAAACTCACTGGCTTCCTGTTCTCATCCACTTCATAATCCTCTTCATTCATCCATTCATTGAAAATGTCTGTGTCCAAAATCCATTTCACATGAACCTAAAATCAAACCAAAGAATAAATATTCAGGTCTGGGGAGATGGCTAATCAGGTAAAAACACTTGTTTCACAAGCCTGATGAGTTCAGATGGAGCCTAGATACCAAGGTATACACACATACTCCCAATGTTACTAGAGTGAGATGGGAAGGGGAGGCCTGGGAATCACCTGGAAACCTGTAGGTTAGCTATCCTGGAGTACATAGCACAGCAGAAACAAGAACTGCCTTAAAAACACAGAAGGAGAACCAATTCACCAATGCTGTCCCCTGACCTCAACAATCTAAGTACTTGCATGCATACACAAATAAATATCAACCTAAATACAATCACTTGAGCATTTTTTTGTTTGTTTTAAATGTGCATGAGTGTTTTGCCTATGTGTAAGTGCACCCGTGTGGTACAATGCCCTGGAAGAGGGTGTTGGATCCCTCTTCTGACATTCTCGGGCAGTGCACAACCCTGGTGCACTTACACATAGGCAAAACACTCATGCACATTTAATGAAAATAAGTATATATATTTTTTAATATTTATTATTTTTATTTTATGTGTATGAGTGTATTGCCTGCATGTATGTAAGTGCACCCATGTGGTGCTAGGAGAAAACCAGAAAAATCATACAACATAGGCAAATGATCATTTTACAACTACCCGGAAATCAATATGGCATTTTAAAAAATTACAAGTTTTCATTTTCTCTGACCCAGCAATTCCATTTTGAATGTTAAGAGTGCACGTGCGTGCGTGCGTGCCTGTGTGCAAGTTCATAATATCCTGATGTGGAAAAGCACCACATACATTCACATGCCAATAGACAAATTCATATAAGACTTTTTATTGCTAAACTGTATACAATGGATGAAAAATCCTGGATTCAATGCCTAGTACCACGTAAGGACCTATATTCTCAGCACTTGGGAAATAGATATAGAAGGAACAGAAGTTGAAATTTCTCCTGGACTATAAAGAGTTGGAGGCCACTCTGAACTATGAAGATTCTGTCTCAAAATAGATAAAATAGTTTAGATAGAAAGATAAATGTTTAGAATGAATTTCTAGAAATAATAAGGGAATTTGGAAAATAGGTACAATATAGTACTTTGTTTTCTTCTTTTCTTGCAATTTAAAAAATTATTTTGACATTTAAGGTTGGAGAAATAGTTTACATGATGACCTGGATTCAGTCACCAAGTACCACCAAAAATGTAAAAAAATAAAAAAGGCTCAGGAGATGTGGGTGTGGGGGAAGAAAATACATAGATTGATTCTTATTGCCAGGCATGGTGGTACATGCCTTTAATCCCAGCACTTGGGAGGCAGAGACAGGCAGATCTCTGTGAGTTCAAGCCAGCCTAGTCTCCAGTGTCATAATCTGAGTTGGCTTTGGATTCTTCTCAAACCTCATTGCATACATGAATATCTAAGACATCAATAACAAGCTCTTCATGAGCATGGATAGCCTCTTGACTTGATGACAATAAAAGGAGATCATCACTCTGCATCTCTTTAAAAACACTGTTGCAGTCGGACATGGTGACACACACCTTTAATCCTAGCACTCCGGAGGCTGAGGCAGGCGGATCTGTGAGTTCAAGGCCAGCCTGGTCTACATAGTGAGTTCCAGGCCAGCTGGGGCTACAAGGAGACCCTGTCTCAAAAACAAACAAACAAACAAAGAGACAAACAAACCAGTTACAAACTGGGCCTGGCTATAATCCCAGGACTCAAGAAAATTACACAAGAGGATCAAGGAAAATTCAAGGCCAACCAGGGATACATAGAGATCCAGGACAGCCTGAGTCAGAGTGATACTGTTTCCAATAAACAAGTAAATTTATTTATTATAAAGAATAGCTAAAATAGAGGCTGGAGAGATGGCTCAGCAGTTAAACACATTGACTGCTCTTGCAAAGACCCTGGTTCAAATCCCAGCACCAACATGGTGGCTAACAACCGTCCGTAACTCCAGTTTCAGAGGATCCAATGCCCTCCTCTGTCCTCTGTGGGCACTGCATGACACGGTGTACTTATATACCTGCAAGTAATACACGCATATACATAAAAATAATAAATATTTTTTAAGAATGGCTAAAATAGTTTATTAGAGTATGTAAGAATAACTTTTTTACACACCTTCCATGGCTTTTCTGGAATTGGTGGATCTTCAATTTCAGCATCAACATCATTACTGTGGATCCAAGTATCATAACTATGAAGTAAATTTTTTAAAAATTATGATTAAAGTTCATTCACTAGAAAGAGTAGTCAAACAATAAGAATATATTCCTATGTACTATTAGTAAGAATAGTAAAATTATGGACTGGCAAGAGGGATACCACTGGATAAAAGCACTTCTCATACAAGCCTAACCACCTCAGTTCAGTCTCTAGAATCCATATACAGGTGGAAACAAAGTTGTCCTCTAACTTTCACACACATGACGTGGCATGTGCATGCCTGCATTCACAAGCACATATCAAGAAGAAATGTAATAACAGTGTTTAAAAAATAGCAAAATAATCAGATACCTTTGTCTTTACCACTTTTAATAAAACTCCTGAACAAATCAAGTTACCTAAACCAAACTTGAACTAAATTATGTAAGTTTGTTACTGCACCTGGTGGTGTGCACCTATCATCCCAGCACTCAGGATGCAGAGGCAGATGGATCTCTGTGAGATTGAGGCCAGCCTGGTTTACACAGAAAGTTCCAGGATAGCTGGGGCTAAGGGGCAATCCTTCAAAGGAAGGAAATAGAAGGGGGGGGGGTCACAAATTGCCTTTCTGAGAGCTAAAATGTTATCAAAAAGCACTTTTTGCCAGGCATGGTGCCTTTAGTCCCAGCACTGGGGAGGCAGAGGCAGAAGAATCTCTGTGAGTTCAAGACCAGCCAGGTCTATCTACATAGTACATTCCAGGCCAGCCATGGTTACATAATGATACCATATCTCAAAAAATCCAAACAGTAAAAAAAGAGAAAAAATTTTTTTTAATATTTATTTTATGCATACGAGTGTACTGCTTGCGTGTATGTGAGTGCACCTGTGTCGTGCAATGCCACAGAGGTCAGAAGAGGGCTTCGGATTCCCCTGGAACTGGAGTAAAGGATGGTTTGTAACCACCATGTGGGTGCTGAGAATTGAACCCAGGTCCTCTGCAAGAGCAGTTAGTGCTCTTAACCACTGAGCCATCTCTCCAGCCCCTCTGCTTGCGTGTATGTGAGTGCACCTGTGTCGTGCAATGCCACAGAGGTCAGAAGAGGGCTTCGGATTCCCCTGGAACTGGAGTAAAGGATGGTTTGTAACCACCATGTGGGTGCTGAGAATTGAACCCAGGTCCTCTGCAAGAGCAGTCAGTGCTCTTAACCGCTGAGCCATCCCTCCAGCCCCAAGAAAAAGATTTTTATCAGTACATGTTGTACACGTGGTATTAAAATACCACACTATACTTGACAAATATATAAAATTATTACATGTAAATCAAAAGGACTTTTAAAGTTTAAAAAGAAGGGGCAGGGAGACTTTGCGGTAAACATGCTCACTAGCATGTTTGAAGACCTATGTTCAATCCCTTACATCACAAAAAATTTAAAAAAAAGAAAGAAAATACAGATTTCATCATTATATCCTATAGGAATAAACTGAATTATCACACAGTATCCCATAAATATGCACAATTAAAATAACATTAAAAAAGAAATACCTGTCTGGGTAAAATCCCCAGTGCACCAACACCTGCTTGTCTTTTCTCATCACTGGTCTCAACCATTCTTCTAAAAGAAAAAAAATATTCAATAGATGAAAATTCAAATAAAATATGAAGTGAACTTAATTTTAAGTTTGTAAACTGAATGGCAATTACCAGGGAAATTTCTGGGATTGAGGAGATGGCTCAGTAAATAAAGTACTGGGACTTGAGTTCAGACGCCCAGCACTCAGGTAAAAAACTGGGTCTGGCAATGTGCACATGTATTTCTAGCACTCTGTGAGTTGTGACAGTTGCAACACTGACCAGTTAGCTTTGTCAAACTGATTAACTCTAAACTGAGAGAATCTGACTCAAAAAGGTGGAGGGGCTAGAATCGTGGCTGTGCAAGGAGCACAGATTTACTTCCCAGAACTCACAAGGTATCTTACAACTCCCTGAAACTCATCGGCTACTGGAGGCTCTGCACACATAAGGTGTGCATACATACAAGCTACATACTCACACTAAAAATAAAACAAATCAGAGAAACATAAGTAAAAAGGGCTGAGATGGGAAGGCTGGAGAGATGTCTCAGTGGTTAAAAGCTCTAGCTGCTTTGCAGAGGACCAGGTTTGATTCCTAACACCCATATGGTGGCTAACAACCACCTGAAACTCCAGTTCCAGAGTATGCCAAAGCCCTCTTCTCCGCAGGCATTGCATGACACAGGTGCACTTATATACATGCAGACAATATACTAACACACAAATAAATAAATAAAAATATCAATGTTTTTTAAATAAGGTTCAAGGGCTAGAAAGATGACTCCAACTGTAGTTCTATTCCTAGAAACCATATCAGGTGGTTTACAATTGCCTGTAATGGCCAGGTATGGTGGCTCCAACCTTTAATCACTGCAATCAGGAAGCAGAGAGGTAGGCACATCTGAGTTCCAGGCCACTCTAGTCTACACAGCCAGTTCCCAACCAGCCAGGGTTATATAATGAGACCTTGTCTCAAAAAAGAAGCTGGAGCTAGAGAAGTGGCTCAGGAGTTAAGATCATTGGCTATTCTTGTATTTCAGGTTATAGCATCCACAGGGTAGCTAACTATCAATGCTAACTTCACAAAATAAAAATAAGTAAAAAATAAGAGTTAACACCTGACAACAAGGAAACTAATATGAAAAGACAAATAATAACAATTGTAGGCAAGGCTACGGATAAACTGAAATCTTACAGAGCTGAAACTGTACGGCTGCAACTTGGAAAATACGTCTCAGACACAAAATGTAGACCAAAGGTACCACATGACTCAGAAATTCTATAGCATGTATATCTGCATATGCATATACGCAGAAAACTGTAATTGTGCTCAATAAATTAACTTATACCTTAATGATCCTGCTAAAATTAATAATAATATATACACCACCTTTTACATGGACAAAAACACAAAAAGGATATAGGGCCAGCTAAAATTGTTCAGCAGATAAAGACAACTATAAACAAATACTGACAACTTGGGTTTGATCCCTGGATCCCACAAGGTGCAAGAGAACTGACTCCCACAAGTTTTTCTATGTTCACACATGTCCAGTGGCACTTGTATGCACGCGCGCACACACACACACACACACTATATATATATATATATATATATAAAATCTTGATCTGTCTGACAGGCCATCACACCTAGCTTAATTAAATGTAATATTTTTGCTTTGGTCCTTTTGATCTGGTCTTTTTGAGACAGGGTCTCCCTGTAGCCCCAGCTGACCTAGAACTCACTACGTAGACCAGGCAGGCCTCTAACAGAAATTTCACCTGCCCTTGTCCATGGATTAGTATTTGGCCATAAAAAGTTCAAATCAGTAACAACAACAAAATAGAGGAATAGAAAGCCCAAGACTATGTAGCCTGAGAAGAAATACTGAGGGAACAGTGTATATTCCAAAGCCATAGAGAACTTCAAAAATGCCCACCAAAGCCAAGCGTGGTGGCGCACGCCTTTAATCCCAGCACTCAGGAGGCAGAGGCAGGCAGATCCTTGTGAGTTCAAGACCAGCCTGGTCTACATAGTGAAGTTCAGGTCAGCTGGGACTACAGGGAGACCCTGTCTCAAAAAGATAAAAAAGCCCACCAAGAGAATAGTAGGGGCTGGAGAAAGGGCTTGGTAGAACAGGTCTTTAATCCAGCACTCCGGAGGCAGAAGCAGGCAGATCTCTAGTGAGTTCAAGGCCAGGCTGGACTACATAGTAAGTTCCCGGCCAGCTGTGGCTACAGAGAAACCCTGTCTCAAAAACACCAAAAAAATTTTTTTAATTTTTTTAAGTGAATACTACTATGATAGAGGACTTGAATTTGATTCTCAGTAGCCACATCAAATAAATCTTCTAGGGATATCTGACACATCCTGCCCATGAGTATCTGCGCACTCCCTCGCTCTCTCTCACACACAAAGTTAAAATAATTTTAAAATATTGAAAAGATTAACAATATACCAGCCAAAATAAAATATAAGAAAAGATGTATCTCTATCTATAGCAGGCAAAAGCACTTGAGTGGCTGTGGAAGGAAACTCAGATCTGAGACAGGCTGGCTCCATCTTAAAACAAAACAAAACAAAGAGAAAGGAAGAACTGTGTATCTGGGGAAGGAAAAGAGGGAGGAAAAAATAAAATAGCTAATGAGTGAGAAAAGCTATTAACATTTCAAACAGAAGCCAGAAAACTGGGAATATTTCCTTGGGAGGGGAACTGAAGGAAAATGCACGTTCAATATTCCAACATTTAAGGGACTGTCCAGGGTTCTGGTTCCTGTCTCCTCAAATTTAAATAAATCAGCATACTTTCCAGGCCTGAAGAACCAGAGAGAAGGAAAAAGGAAGTCAGCAGATGGCAGAGGACAGAAGAGGCTGTCCAATCCCCTGGAACTGGAGTTACGGACAGTTGTTAGCTGCCATGCGGGTGCTGGGATCCAAACCCGGGTCTTCTACAAGAACAACCAGTGTTATTAACCGCTGCGCCATCTCTCCAGCCCTTTATTTAGTCATTTTTAAAATGATGACTGCTGGAGCTGGAAAGATGGCTCAGTGGTTAAGAGCACTGGCTGCTCTTGTAGAGGACCCAGGTTCAATTCCCTGTACCCACTTGGATGGTGGCTAACTACTGCACATAACTCCAATTCTAGGGAAATTCTATACCCTCTTCTGACCTCTGCAGGCGTTGCACAACACGGGTGCATGTCATGCATGCAGGCAACACACTCATACACATTTTAAAAAAGACTACATTATCTAAATCTCACAGTATAACATCTGCGTTTAACAGCTCACACCAAAAATGAACTTACCATCCTCTTGTGAGGAAGGATGTGGATAAATGTGGTGGGAAGCTTTTGATTTTTCATCAGTAAATGTTCCCTGCAACACAAATGAACAAATAAAAATAAAGCACGTGACAAGCAAACTATCAGATGCCAGATGTAAACTCTTAAGAATTATAAAAGCATGGTTGAGTCAAGAAAAGGAATAACGATTAACATCAACAAAAAATTCTGTCTATACATACACAAGTAAAGGATGAGTATTCCTTTTCCAAAATGCTTGGGACCTGAAGTGTTTCAAATTTCTTAGTTTTTCAAATTTGGGAATATTTGCATAAACTTTACCAATTGATCATCATTAATCCAAATATCAGAAATGCTCTGGAAACCAAAATTTTGAGTATCATACTGGCATTCAAACTGTTTCCACACACTGAGTATCCTTACAATCAATATGCATACCTCATAAATTTTTAACATTACTCCAAAACATCATAAATGTTGAGTATGGGAGAGTCCAACAACTTAATAATTATTTGTGAAGTTACCTACTATCCCCCAACCTTATCACTTACCAAAAACTAAGGCTTTTGTCAGGCATGAGGGTACATACCTGTAATCTCAGCACTTGGGAAATAGAGGCCAGAGGATCAGGAGCTCAAGGTCATCCTTTGCTACACGGCAAGCCTGAAGTTAGCCTAAGCTATGAGATTCTGTCTCACAAAATCCAAAATAAAATTTAAAAAGAGAGGGGAAGAGAGAGAGAGAGACAAAAACAGGATTTCAAGTATGTAACTCACTGACCTCAAACTTTCTATTCTCCTGATTTAGGTAAACTGGTATTACAGTATGGACCTACCAGGCAAAATTTTCATGATTACCTGACATGAAACAGTAAAGGTTTAGGCATTTAAACTGGCAGTACACAGATAAAGCATAGAATTATTTGAAAAAAACCACAGCATGTATATGTGCATTATATATAGCTACAGTTTTAAGTCAATGTTGGAATACCAATACAAAAATCTAAGATTAAGCAACGGCTCAGCTGTCAAGAAAGAATGTTACAGGTACTCTAAATCATTTAGACCAATAATTACCTGTTTAAAGACCATAGAATAAGGGGAAAAAAATCATGCCCTCAGTTTGAAGAAGCAACTTAATGCATTCCAAGAATTTCTCTTCTAAGAACAAGTATTTACTCATTATTCCAACAATGCAATACTACTTCATCTGTGGAAAATTCAAAATTCAAAAATTTAGAGTAACCTAAAATGGTAAGGACTTAATTAGATAAACACTTTCTGTTTCCTGAACCATTTAAACAGTGCATTTGTGAACGGTCACCAGGAAAGGGGGAAAGGAGTACCAATATTCAGCAAGTATGAGACAATGTGCACATTTATGACCTTGGCCTGTGGAGGCCATTAGTGCTGCAGTGAAACCTCAGTTGTCATTTACTACTTACATGGCCTATAGTATGTTATTCTGTGTATGGTATCTTCTTTGAAATGAAACAAAAAAAAAAAAAAATACTTTTATCTACAGAATTTTGTTGAGCTGGAGATGGCTCAGAGCTTAAGAGAACCCTCTGCTGTTGCAGGTCTGAGTTCAGTTCCCAGCATCCACGTCAGGTGGCTCACAACTGTCTTTAACTCTAGTTCCAAGGGACCCAAAGCCCTCTTCTGGGTTCTAGAGGTATTGGCATACACATACATTTTCTAAAAAAAAAAAATAACAGGCACAAACGAAGCAGGTGCCCAGTGTCTGTCATTAATGCATTTAAAATGCTCAAGTAAAGTCATGGTCATTAGTATTCAGTAGTAGTACTATTATTAATAACTCCTCAGGAGAATGCTCAGTGGTTAAGAGCAATGGCTGCTCTTGCAGCGGTTTCAATTCCCAACACCCACATGTCGGTTAACAACCCAGGTGTTGGTGACTCCAGTTCACAACACCCTCTTCTGACCTCTGAGGGCATTGCAAGACATGGTGCACGTACATACATACAGGCATGTAGGCAACAGTAATACATGTAAAAATAATAAATAAAATATTTTAAAATAACTCTTCAGGACTCTTCACTACAATTCTCTGAACCCAAGGTTGGAGCTGGAACACAATGGTAGATTCTAGCTTATATGAAGTCCTGGGTTCCATCTCCAGAAGCATTAGAAAGAAAAATTTTATAAAACCAGCCAGATTCCAGTTTCTCTCTAGAGTATCCTTTAAAAATAATCTCCAAGTCTTATTTGTGAGGGAATATTACAGCTAAAGAGTCACCATAAAATCTACAAAAATATGGAAGCATGATATCCAACAATATTTTGTAGCAATAATTCATCATTTCAGCTTGAAAGCAAGACCTGAGAGGTTAATTTATTCTATTTCTGACCTCTTGTCATACTACAGTTACAGATGTTGTAGTCTTTCCTTTTCCAAAATCAAAACTGATTTGCTGAAAGTCACAGTGCTGGTGAAAAGAAGAAGTGGACTTCACAGTTCAAGCTGACGACGCCATAGTATTATTTATCAATTATCTAGCTTTGATTTTGGAAAGGAAGGACTAGAAAAATCTGCAGCTGTAGTAAGTGTAACAAATACCTGCTTTTAGAACATATAAGTTATTTTCAACTGGGAAGAAAAAGGTATTTCATAAGGCTTCTGAACCAATCTGAACATTCAGTAAAAACTGTACCACATAAATGATGTTTTTACAGAAAATTATCTTGTACCTAGTGATCCTCAGCCAGTTTAGCATGTCACAGATTTCACTGTAGTTTAACCACAGGTAACCACAAACCTACAAACCTACATTGCAATAAATACAAAAGGTCAAACAAAAGGTGATGAAGACACTGGAAGATAGTATGGTGCCAAGAAAACATACCCTGGTGGGAACAGCAGTGTTTGGTTTTATTGGCCAGAGTCTTGACTTCCATTGATTCAAGCAGACTCTTTTTTATTTTTGGTCTTTTTGAGACAGGGTCTCCCTGTAGCCCCAGCTGTCCTGGAACTCATTATGTAGACCAGGCTAGCCTTGAACTCACAGAGATCTACCTGCCTCTGTCCCCTGCCACCCAGTGCTGGGATTAAAGGCATGCGCCACCACGCCCAGAACTCAAGCAGACTCTTTAGTGGTCACAAACATGCACTATTGTGTTTATACTTGCATGCCTAACTGAAAAGCAGAAATTTTTTCCTCACATTACAAAAGATACCCATATAAATGCAACTGAATGAGTAGGGAGAATTAAAAAAAATTTTTTTTAATTATTTTTATTTTACATGTGAGTATATTGCCTGCCTGTGTTTAAATATACCCATGCTGTGCAATGTTCTTGGGGCAAGAAAAGGGTGTCAAGGTTCCCCTACAAACTGGAGTTATGGGTGGTTATTATCCGCCACATGGGTGCTGGGAATCAAACCCAGGTCCTCTGCAAGAGCAGCCAGTCTTCTTAACCTCTGAGCCATCGCTCCAGCCCCAGGAGAGGTAATTTTAAAGTATATTTCACCTCCTCCAATTAACAATCTTATCACTAACTTTCTTTGGCAAGTTTGTAAAATTCTGTGATTTAGAATTCTGTGATGTAGATTATATAGGGTTCCTTAATAAGGGAAACATACTTCTCTCTATGACTAATACAACTTCATCCCAGGAACTATTTACACGCTACTATAAGTTAGAAGGGGTCTGAGGGCTGGAGAGATGGCTCAATGGTTAGAGCACTGGCTGCTCTTGCAGAGGACCCAGGGTTCGATTCCCAGCACCCACATGGCAGCTAACAACTATCCTTAATGCCAGTTCTAGGGGGATCCAACACCCTCTTCTAACCTCTGCAGGCACTGCACAACACGGGTGCACTTACATACATGCAGGCAATACACACATACAAAAAAAAGTTATGCTGGGTGTGAAGTGCATGCCTTTAATCCCAACACTCAGGAGGCAGAGGCAGGCGGATCTCTGCGTTCAAGGCCAGCCTGGTCTACATAGTGAGTTCCAGTCCAGCTGGGGCTACAGGGAGACCCTGTCTCAAAAAGACCAAAAAAAAAGAAGGGCCATAGGGGACTTGGTAAAAATTCAGAGACATTTATTTCCTTTAAGGAGATATAAACAAAAGTCCAAAGATACCATGATTTGCATTTATTAAAAGTTTACTAGCATTGTACTGAAGTTATTGTGTCTATTACCTGATGCCGTTTGATGATATCTTTCAATTTGTTAGCCAACTTCAGATCAATGTCTGGAATGAGGTAGATGTTGGGTCTGGTCAGACAATTGTTCTGAGGGGAAAAAAAGAGACTTTGAAATTCAAATGGTTATGAAATAATGTACCACTATTAACCACCATTTTACATTTATGTGTGTACATCTGTCTGCACAGACACACACACAATTTAATGTCTGCAAGTGCGTGCATGCATGCATGCATGCCACAGCACATTTGTCAAGGTCAGAGGACAGCTAGTGGAAGTCGGTTCTCGCCTTCCACCATATAGGTACTGGGGATCGAACTCAGATCCTCATGCTTCCCTGATCAAGTAGCTCATTGGCCCCTGATCATTCATCATCCTAAAGGCAAATTTTGGCATTTAAACTCACTTTTTGTGTTTTTTAGAAACAGGATCTCCCTGTAGTCACAAATTGCCTGGAACTCACTATTAGACCAGGATGGCCTTGATCTTGAACTCACAGAGATAAGCCTGTCTTTGCCTTAGTGGTGGGATTAAAGGCATGTACAACACGGATCAAAACACACATTTCTTCTATTTTATTTTTTTATTTTATGTGTATGCGTGTATTGCCTGCATGTGGGTAAGTGCACCCATGTCATGCAATGCCCAAGGCGGTCAGAAGAGGCTGTTGGATCCCCTGGGACTCGAGTTACGTAGAGTTGTTAGCTGCCATATGGGTGCCATCTATCCAGCCCCAAAACACATACTTCTTTTTTTTTGGTCTTTTTGAGACAGGGTCTCCCTGTAGCCCCAGATGTCCTGGAACTCACTATATAGACCAGGCTGGCCTTGAGATCCGCCTGCATCTGCCTCCCAAGTGCTGGGACTACAGGCGTGTGCCACTACACCCTGCTAGCACATAGTTCTTAAAAACTGAAAAACATCTTTTGATAGATAACATGAAAGCCTTTTATTTTTTTCGGTCTTTTTGAGACAGGGTCTCTCTGTAGCCCCAGCGGTCCTGGAACTCACTATGTAGACCAGGCTGGCCTTGAATTTCTTAAATTTCTTTTAATTTTATGTGTATGAGTATTTGGCATTCATGTATATATGTGCACATGTGCAGTGCCTACAGAGCCTAGAAGAGGGTGCTAATTACCTGGAACTGGAGTTATGGGCAGTTGTTAGCTACCCTGAGGGCTGCTGTAAACCAAATCCAGGTCCTTTGCAAAAACAAGTGTTCTGAACTTCTGAGCTATCTCTCCAGCTCCTTGAATGTGAAAGTCTTATTTCAAATTAAAACCTAGATGGTTCTGCAGGCCACTTAAAGATCATCCCCAGATCCCTTCTGTAGCTAGGCAAAAACTGCTGACAATTGAATGAAAATCCTGCTACAGAAACGTAGCAGTTTAGGGATTCAGAGAAGATGGATCAATGGATAAAGTGCTTCTAAAAGCATGGGGAACTGAATTTGAATGCCCACTTTGAAGCTAGGAGCAGTAGCAAGTGTCTGTAACCCCAGCACCAAAACAACACACAAGCGTATTATTGCAGGAAATGCCTTGCCAACCAGTCTTGCTAAAATGATGATTTCCAGGTTCAGTTAGAGATCCTTTATCAAAAAGTAAGGCAGAGTTAGAGATGGCTCAGCAGTTTTTAAAAAATATTTTATTATTCTTTGTGTGTATGAGCATATTACCTACATACAGGTAGGTGCACCTGTGTCATGCAATCTAAAGGAAGTCAGAAAAAAAAACATCAGATCCCTGGACCTGGAGTTATGGATGGTTGTTGGCCACCATATGGGTGCTTGGAATCAAACCAGGGTCCTCTACAAGAACAGCCAGTGCCCTTAACCACGATACAGAAGTTAAAAATTCTGCTCCTGGGGCTGGAGAGATGGCTCAGCAGTTAACAACACTGTTCTTGCAGAAGACTCGAGTTCAAATCCCAGCACCCATTTGGCAGCTAACAACTGCCTGTAACTCCAGTCCCAGGAGATCCAACAGCCTCTTCTGTCTTCTGCGGCACTGCAGAACATGGGTGCACTTACCTACATGCAGGCAATACATGCATACACATAAATTAAAATAATAAATTTTTAAAGAAATTAAAAAAAAATTCTGCTCCTCCAGAAGATGGAACTTCGATTTCCAGCATCCATATGACAGCTAACAACCATCCTGTAAATCCAGCTCCAAGGGATCAGACACCCTCTTCTGTACTCACATGCACAGACCCACAGCCAAATACTTAGAATTTTTTTTAAAGTCTTTAGGGCTGGGCATGGTAGCACATGCCTTTAATCCCAGCACTTGGGAGTCAGAGGCAGGCAGATCTCTTTGAGTTCAAGGCCAGCCTGGTCTACATAGTTGAGTTCCTTGAGTTCCAGGACAGCTGGGGACTACAGAAAGACCCTGTTCTCAAAAAGACCAAAAAGAAAAAATCTTAAGTAACGAAATAAAACTATTATTTCAGAAAATTCTTTCCCTTTATTTCTTGGCAATCCAATATAGCCAATCTTAGAAATGAAAGTATATTAAAGAACAAAATAAGGTAGTGATACATGCCTCTAATTCTGGGGTAGAGAGTACTGAGGCAGGGGGATTTTTTGGCTGGCTTGGTAGCCAGTTAGACAGAAGTCCTATCTAACTTAAGAGAGAAAAAGCAGGGAAGGGAAGGAGAGGGATAAAGGGGGAAGGTAGAAGAGAGACTTATTTCTCCAGCTTACCTGTACCAATGTTTTTTCAATGTTCATAAACATTTCAACATTACGATCCATTCGGGATGGATTCTGCAGATCAAATCTCCGCCTAACAAAGGGCAAAAAAAAGCATTACTAGGTTTGCCTCCCACTTCAAACCCAAATGGAAATTTGATTTTAGATTTGCATTCAAATTAATTGGAAAGGCCTGGAAACTAAACTAGCACCATATAAAACACGTGGAGGCATTCTTTCGGTACTCTGCGAATGTAGCTTCCTATCAGATGACACTTAGGGCCACTGAGTTGGAACAGCAGGTAAAGGCACCTGCCCCAAGACTGACAACCCACATTCACTCTCCAAGACACATAATAGGAGAGAATTGACTAAAAGTTCTCATCTGACCTCCCCCCCCCACACACAAAATAAATTACATAACTCAAAAGAAAATTTTTTAAAATTGTTAAACTAAGGGCTAGAGCAATGGCTCAGCGGTTAAGAACACTGGCTGTTCTTGCAGAAGACCTGGGTTCAAATCCCAGCACCCATATGGCAGCAAACAACTGTCTATAACTCCAGTTCCGGGGGATCCAACAATCTCTTCTGTTCTCTGAGGGCACTGCACGACACAGGTGCTATTACCTACAGGCAGGCAATATACCCATACACATAAAATAAAAAGAAACATCTCCCCCACCACCCCAGAGCTGAGGACCAAAACCCAGGGCCTAGCAAGCACTCTACCACTGAGCTAAATCCCCAACCTCAAGAAACATCTTGAAAAAAAAAAAAATTATTAAACTATTTAATGTTTATTTATTTTATGTGTATGAGTGTTAAGCCTGCATGTGTGTAAGAGCACCTGTGCCACACGGAGGCCAGAAGAGGGCATCAGATACCCTGAAACTGGAGTTGCTAGCTGCCATGTGGGTGCTGGGATTCAAACCTTGGTCTTCTGCAAGAGCAGCAGCCAGTATTCTTACCCATTGAGCAATCTCTCCAGTCCCAAGGAAAAAAAAAATTTTCTGAGACAGGATCTCACTATGTATCCTGACTGGCCTGGAGCTTACTATGTAGACCAGGCTGGCCTCAAACTGACACCTGCCTCTGGCTCTCAAGTGTGCTGGCATTAAAGTTGTGTGTCATCATGCCCACCCTATCTTTCTAATTTTTCAGGAGTAAAGTTTCTTTATACAAAATATTCCAGTAGCCGGGTATGGTAGGACACGCCTTTAATAGAGGCAGGCTGATCTCTGTGAGCTGGAGGCCAGCCTGGTCTACGTAGTGAGTTCCAGGTCAGCTGGGGCTTCAGGGAGATCCTGTCTCAGAAAGAGCACAAAAAAAAAAAAAAGAAAGACCAAACAAACAAAAGTT